GAATACAACTAAGAGTTAGTCTTTGGACAAGGAGCTTTTGAGTTCAATTTGATATATAGGATAACTTTCTGAAGTATTGATGTCTGTTCTCGAGACACCCTGTATATAAGTGTATAGAATGTTTATAATTGGGTCTTGTTTTTCTTATTTTATTGTTAATTTTGCTTGTGACGTTACTTGTTTATTCTTATCTGATTTGTATTACATGAAAAAGTGTCTTTGATGCGTATGTGCATAAATAAATAAATTTGTCTCATTTTATTACAACTTGGTGTAAAATTCCTCAACAATGACTAAACACCCTGTAATGAATTCATTCAAAATTAAATAGTAAGGATTGGGTAAAGCTGGCGAACTACTGCTAAAGTGGCATGGGAATATCTTTGGTTATAGAATTTACCTTAAGCCCACATAAATCCATTTTATGCTACGAACTGTTAGGATTATCAGCAGATGCTACAAGTGTTGGGTTTTATTTTATTTTTTATTTTTTTGCCTTGACTAGTGGATTAATTAATGATTGTAAATTTTTTAAATGGTAGTATCTTATAAAGTAGCGGTTTTTTAAAATGTAAGAATTTTAATTTTAGCCAAACTAAATTTAATTTGTAAGCTATAAGTGTAAACTAAACTAGTTTTCCATTTCATATTCATTTATTATACAAATTATTGTTTAAATTTTAACTCATATGGCGTATATTTGGTCTGTTTCCCACCAATAGATACTGATTATTTTGTTTGCTGAAAATCTATTTCAAGGTCTGTCCGGGCAAGGGAACATGTCAAGATATAGTTGTTACGGGAAAATAGACATTTTTTTCAGCCCATAAAAGGAGCAAACCGTTGCAAAACAACGGAAGGAATTTGTTCTGGTTTATTACTCCTGTCTATGGCCAAATTGACATTTTCACACAACACCTTTTCATAGAACTCACGTCTGAGGGACAAGGAGGGCACCTGAATGTGAAAGCTATGCACCTCGGTTTATGATATTTCGAACAGCTGCCGTACGTAAAAATTCCTTTGGGCCGTGCCGAGCCGATTATCATAAAAGCAACGCGACATGGGATAATCTGAACGGTTGAGATGAGGTTGGCGTAGAAAAATGCTAATGTAGTGGTTACAGCAATTACGTTTTATTGCAATTCTTGCAATTTTATTACATTCATTGATGGTAGAAAAAGTAATAATAATTCCCGACTGGGTTTTTAATAAAATCCTAAGAAATGAGCTGAATCAATTCGTGCCATTTAGATAGGTTAGGATATTCTAAACGGTTTGGATCTGATCTGCACAGAAAAATGCAAAATTAATGGTTATCGGAATTACGTTTTATTGCAATTCATGCAATTTTATTACAATCTTCGATAGTAGAAAAAGTAATAATATGTTTTGAATGTAATCTTGATAATTAAACTGAAACAATTCGTGCCATTTATTTAAAATAGGATAATCAAACAATTGGGATGAGATTTGCCCAGAAAAATGCTAAACTAGTTGTTCTAGGAATTACGTTTTATTGCAATTCTTGCAATTTTATTACATTCATTGATGGTAGAAAAAGTAATAATAATTCTATACTATGTTTCTAATAAAATCCTAGGAATTGAGCTGAATCAATTCGTGCCATTTAGTTAGGTTAGGATATTCTAAACAGTTGGGATCTGATCTGCACAGAAAAATGCAAAATTAATGGTTATCGGAATTACGTTTTATTACAATTCATGCAATTTTATTACAAACATCGATAGTAGAATAAGTAATAATATATGTTTTGAATGTAATCTTGATAATTGAACTGAACCAATTAGTGCCATTTATTTAAAATAGGATAATCAAACAATTGGGATGAGATCTGCTCAGAAAGATGCTAAACTTGTGGTTATAGGAATTACGTTTTAATCCAATTCATGCAATTTTATTACATTCATCGATCGTAGATAAATTACCAGTAATTCTAGACTTTGTTTCTAATGAAATCCTAATTATTGAACTGAACGAATTCGTGCCATTTATTTAGAGATGAGATCTAAATTTAACGTAATGCTAACAGGAAATATCAATGCGGAAGCATACATGAAACTGTCTAAAATAAATTGATTTGACAACGTCCGTCACCTTCTTTCTATATACAGTTGTATAACATATGATTATCGTTATTGAGATCCGATTGGCTTGGCTGATTTCATTGTAAATTATGATCGTTCATTTATGCATCTAGGCAAATATTTGTATTGCAGATATATTTTAGATTGTATTGCAATTAATTAATTGTACAATAGGGAAAGCTATGGAGGTAAAAATTTATATCGAGTGATATAAAAGTTTTCAGATTCAATTAATAAAACCTTTATATAAAGTAGATTTTCTTTTTTGTTGTTGTCAAAATGACGTGCTAGTTATGCTGAAAAATAACTCATAAAATTCTAAAATTCTTGTTCAGTGAAGAAAAGAAAATCGTTAAATGATGTGACGTGATTTAAAAAGTAAATAACATATGATGAAGGATAAAATATTTTTACTGCAGGTACTTTTTATCTATAAATTTTATCTATAAAAAAATTTATCTATAAAATACATTGATAACTGATATATAATGTATAATTTGATTGTGCACCACATATAGTTTACAGCAGGTTTCAAGATTTTTAAACAATAGTCAAGTAAAATTGAAATGGTGCCTTTTTACTCAAAATCATAAAATACCTGGTACCAAGTTCATTACATTCTCTTGCAATTTCCAGAAAAAAATATTCATCAGAATTGATAAAACAACTATTACTAATAATAAATATTATAGAAAAAACTACACGATCCAATAAAAAATATAGTTTATACAGGTAATACACTGAAATAAAATTTAATTTAATTAAAAATAAACCTGTTTAATTTAATTTGAAGATTTTCTTCAACTTTTGCTTCAAATAATGTTAATGCTTTAAGGTAAATTATGATAGGCTTGTTATAATTTTCAAACTTATAATTTGTGCTAACTTAAAGATTATACATTGTAATGGTTAATCGTGTATACCGAAGACTTGTACGGTTATTAATATTATTATTACAGTTTTTCTAGTTATTATAACGAAGGTATTGATGATTATTATTGCATTTTGTTAGTACCTATTTACTTTTCGTTACGTATTATAAAATTCAAAATCACAGTTTATTTGTACCTAGTATTTCGGAGTACCTACATATTTCTGTAAAACATTAGGTCATTTAGTTAAAAAGGATGTAAGAAAGATGGTCAAAGAGAGAGAGAGAGAAAAGTAGATAAATAAACAGAAACATATAGAAAGATATGTAAATAGATAAATAGGGAGAGTTAGTGTGAGAAATAAAGAGCAAAAGAAAAGAGAATGTAGCGCAGGGATAGAAACAAAGATAAAAGAAAAAGAGAGAGATAAGTAGATAAATAAATAGAAACATGTAGATAGATATGTATATAGATAAGTAGGGAGAGTTAGTGTGTGAGAAAAACAGAGCAAAAGCAATGAGAATGTATTGAGGGGAAAAAGAAAGAAAAAAGAGGGAGAGTGAAATAGAGAGAGGGAGGGAGGGAGAAAAAAGTAGGTAGATAGATATGTAGATAGTTAGAGATATATACGTAGATCGATAGAGAGAACGTGTGAGAAAGCAACAGAGAAAGTAGAACAGAGAGACAAGAACAGTGAAAGAGAGAGAGAGAGAGAGAGAGAGAGAGAGAGAGAGAGAGAGAGAAGAGAGAGGGATTGACTGAAAAACTGTGAGAGACAGAGATGGTAAAGTTGGACGAAGAGGAGGGAAAAATAGAATGTGTGAGTGTGCTTGTAACAAAGAGATAAATAGATAGAATAATGTATAGATGGATAAATAGGATAAATAGAGAGGGAGGGAGAGAGGAAGAGAGAAAAAGAGAGAGGAGAGAGATAGGAAGTGGGTGAGCGAGAGAGAGAAAGAGAGAAGTAGAGGGAGAAAAAAGTAGGTATTATAGATATATAGATAGTTGGATATAGATAGATAGAGAGAATGTGTTAGAAAGCAATAGAGAAAGCCGGGGGAGAGACAAGGACGGAGAAAGAGAGAGGATCAGGAGAGAGAGAATGAGAGAAAAGAGAGAGAGAAGAATACACATAAAAATATCAAAGATAAAGAAAGATGGGTAGATAAATATAGAAAGAGAACAGAAAGAGTGAGACAGAAGTGGAGAGAGAAAAATATAAAGAAAGCGAGAGTGAGTGTGAGTGAGTGACATATGAATAGATAGGTCACATCAGTAGAGAGTTAATGCATACGAGTCAAACAATAATAGAACAAACAAAGGAGACAAAGATCCTTCTTTAAGTAGAAGGCACAAAAAATTATAATTTGTCGTTTGTATGAAGTTTTAAATGCCACACAGAATGAAATGATGAAAAGGTTCTATTGACATTGACTATTATCAATAAGGAAGAAACGTTTTATTGTTATTTATTTAATTTGAAACGTTTATTAGGCTATACAAATAAATATTAATGATAATGATTAGACATTTTTGTCATGATTTAATATAACGAAGCTTCGTGCTATAATCCAATAAAGTGTAACTGATACAACAAACTAACTATTGTTAGAAGTTAGTAATGCCATCTGTGTAACTACAAACTATTACAACTCTTCTAATATATAATTTTTAGAATGCCAGTACAATTATCAACAGGACAACGTTACACAAATATTGTAAATTTTAGACCTTCACAAGGCTGCGTACGTCTCGGTATTGCAGTCAATGACATGCAGAGGGCAGAAAATGAGCCTCACCGGAAAAATTTGAAAACAATGAACCAGGTGATAAACGTTTAGAATCTCCCATCAAAGGATCATAGCGTCGCCCATTGTGATCTCAATGCCAGAATCCCTTCTGATCATTCGATAAAAAAAATGCAATTACGTAAAACAAACATACACTCCAGGGGGGAGAATGTTGTCCGAGTCGGGGTTTCGTATATAAGGCCGGCACCGGCCTTCTCCATTCAGTTTGGTTCTCCCTTTCAAAATGTACAAGGTGAGTGACCGATATCACGATCTACTTTATTGAAATGGATTATTTTTTCTCGGTTAAATTTTGTTCAATTTAAATTTATTCGGTTAGTCATACTACATACGGAACATGTCTTTAAATTTTCTGGTCTTCAAATATTTTTATTTTTAACTTTACTCTAAAACTTAATAATGAAAATTATTGAAATTTTACAAAGTGTTGATGTTTATTTGATGAGTTTTAACATATAAATTATTTATGAACATTAACCACATTATCTACGTCTATTATATCATGCTCGAAGTTAATTGGCTGTTGCCGATTGTTGTTCCATTATTTATGCTTTCCAAATTATGATCTCAGGAAGTCACTACTGTCTAGTTGAAAGTGTAACCATTACTAATTTGAAAAATTTAATATACTATTTTAAATAATTAGGAATAAGTCATACATAGAAATTTATGCGAACAATAATTTTTATTTATCAATCAATCGATTTTCATTGTTTAACACAGTTTAAAGTTTCTATGCGGAAATTTTTTAATGATATGTTACTGTAAATTTTAAATTTTATTGCAATAAAAAAAAAATTTAACGGACTGTTACGTGTTACAGATTTTCTTAGTGGCTTTTGTGGCTGCTTCTGTCCACGCACAGAAGTACGGACATGGAGAAAGTCACCACGTAGATTATTATACTGAGCCTCATTATTATTTCGAATACGATGTGAAAGATACCCACACAGGAGATGTTAAGAGCCACAAAGAACAACGTAAAGGAGACCACACTCAGGGAGTGTACTTCTTGGTCGAGCCCGACGGCACTAAAAGGGTCATCGAGTACTTCGTCGAAGGAAAGAAGGGAGGATTCGTCCCAAAGGTGCACAGGGAACACTTGAAGCACCTCGACAAGAAAGGACACGGACACGGTGTCTCTCTCCAGAACTACAACTTCGAACAAGGAAAGGTGCAGGAAGTTACATACCAGTCGCATGGACACTCTGAAGGCGGATATGGTGGACAATCAGGCGGATACGGAGGACACTACGGCGGTTTGTCCGGCGGATTCGGCGGACACTCTGGAGGATTCGGAGGTAACTCTGGTGGATTGTCCGGTGGTTCTCAACACGGAGGACACTTCGGAGGCAGCTCTGGTGGATTGTCCGGTGGTTCTCAACACGGAGGACACTTCGAAGGCAGCTCTGGTGGCTCTTCTGAAGGCTACAAATTTGGATCTTTCGGAGGTAGCTTTGGAGGACACTCAGGTGGATTCGGCGGACAGGCTGGTGGATCATCCGGTGGTCAACACGGAGGACATTATGGAGGCAGCTCTGGCGGTTCTTCCGAAGGATACAAATTCGGTTCATTCGGAGGTCAATCTGGCTACGGTGGAAATTCCGGTGGATCTTCTGGCGGATACGGAGGTCATTCCGGCGGATACGGTGGTTCATCTGGTGGAGCCTCTGAGGGATACAAGTTTCAATCTTCTTATCACGGTGGATCCCAGGGCGGTAGCTCAGGCGGTTACGGAGGTCATTCTGGTAGCTTCGGCTTTGGTGGATTGTCTCATGGCTCATCTGGCGGATACGGTGGTCAATCCGGTTCTTCCGAAGGATACAAATTCGGATCTTACCATAGCGGAGGTCAGGGAGGCAACTCGGGCGGTTACGGCGGTCATTCTGGTGGTTCTTCTGGTGGATACGGTGGCTCGCACAAAGGATACGGACACGGAGAAGCCACTTCCAGCGTCACCTTCTCAACTCACGGTGCCAAAGTTCACACTTCCACGAAACACGTCGTTCCTCAGAAACATGAACATCACGGCTATTAGTACTAGATTTCTACCTTAGCTGATTGTACTATCATGTAAATAAACCTTTTTTATACTTTTGTAATAATTTGAGATTTTCATTTAATTGAACAAGAATCCTTTTTCTTCACCTTCCTCATTGATAAGAAATAGCAAAAAAAAACCAAAACCCCAATATCAACAATTCTTTGTATTTCCTCTAAGTACAGGTTGTCCCATGAACAGACGTTAATACTTCAGGAGTTTATCATACAAGTCAAATTGGACTTAAAATGTCTCTATTGCCAAAATTCTAATTCTCAAGTATAATCGAGAATATCTCTTTACATGTTACATCAATTTTTCACAAATTTATTCCATAAAGCCCCTGGTACCTCACAAAATGCTAATGACTGTTAACTGTATTACCCCAATGAAAAGGGTATTAATAATTTTACAAGATTTTTTTTTAAATTATTAGCTTAGGTACATCAAATCTCGCAGAAGATAAAATATAAAGTTCAATATTCTCGACTAAAGTTTAAGTAAGATTTTCTTAGTTCTGTAAATACTGGCAGATAAGGCGCTTAGATAAATGTCGCCTCTTCTAATAAGCTTTTAATTTAGCACTTAATTTCTCATAGCTCAATTATCACTAAGTAAAATTTACGTTTAAGTTCTAAAAATTTGATTTTTCTGTTACCAACCCTTGAGAAAAATTACTCTTTAAGATTTTGAAACTTCTATTAAAAAAATGAAAGTAATACAAAAAAATCCACTTAGGTACAAAAGTGAACATAGAAAACTTATGTAGTAAAATCTGTCCGCAAATGATATCAGGCTTGCATTCTTAAAAAATGTGGACATTTTAAAATTAATATCATTAATTTTAAGTTTTAGAGGCTTGTTTTTTCTTATGTTAAATTTTGCAACAAAGAATCTTTTTTGTTTACTTTGTATTACTTTCATTATTTTTTTTATAAAAGTTTGAAAATCTTAATAAATATTTTTTTTAAACCATTTGCAAGAAAATTGTAATACGAATAGTCAAATTTCTCGACTAGAATTCAGAACCACGCTAGGGCCAATAGGGAATTTTTGGTCCAATTTGACATGTAGATTGCAATTTATTAATTAAACAAACAATTTATTAAATAAAATAAATATAATATTTTTACGTAGTTGCATTTACGAACCGTTTATAAGAATTAAATGTTCAATTAAATTTCGCCAAAATTATTTTAATTTTATTCACTATTTCGTAATAAATTTATTTTTTGCCAAGGAAGAATTCTCCAGCAAACTTATTTTAATTTTTTATATATTCAATGCAAAAAAACTTACATTTAAGCGGTAGAATATATATATATATATATATTCTTTGATAATGAAGAAAGGAATTATGAAAATATATAATTTTTTTGTTAATCTGTGTAAATTTTTAAAAATTGAAAGAAACGTTTTCTTTTTTGAAACAATATTACGGTCATAAAAATAAAATTCCTATTACGGGTTCTTATTGGCATTTATGATAACATGATGTTTGACAATATTTACTGAAAATATTAATAGCCTTTAACTCGAGAAAAAAAGTGTTATTAAACCGTATTTACAAAAGTGGTTTTTAATGATTTCTACACGATTAAATTGATTACATTCCCGATATATGGATAAGTTTAGAGTCCAATTACCCTTGAGTGGTAAAACTACATTGAAATATTTTTTTCAGACTGTTCAGAATTAAAAATCCGTAGGCTGTGTCGAGATTCGAACCCTGAAATGCTAGCGTGGCAAGGACGAGTAGTCCAGCCGAGTGGTTTGGGTCATCGCAGGTCCACCTTTTTAAAAAAATATATTTTATTATCTATATTTACAGGGTTGTACGGTACGAGATGCCAAAGTAATTTGGCTATAGTAGACTGAAAAGTGTAGTAGAATTCTGTAAAAACGGGTTTTCTAGCTCACAAGATTCAAAAGATACGATTTTTATCGTAACCTTAGCATTTTTAATTGAAATTGATATTTTTTAAAAATATAGGTTGGATTGCTAAAGAAGAGTCATCGATTTTTCTGCCTTCAGCTGGGTCAAACCGTGCGTAAGCAGAAGCAGTTATTGGAAGTACTTTGAAAAATTTCAAAAATTCACTACACTGAGACGAAAATCCCTAGAGATTGGCAAATTTCCCAAAAACGGCTTCATTTGATAAGTTTTCGCTTGGTAAGCCTGGTAGGATCGGTACGGTCCTTTTTCTATGAGTGTGGTGGTTCAAATTCACGGTGATAGGAAAGTATGAAAAGTACATGAAAAACTGAATACTGAAGATTATAATAAAAATCAAAATTTAATTTTGTGAACAAAATAAAAAAATATGAAGAAGTTTAGACCGAGTCTACTAAAGCAAGTTTTCGAAGCCCTCTCTATTATTCCTCAATAATTTTCAAGTACGTTTTTACATATTTCCAGATGCACATTATACATTAATTACATTTGTTATATCGTAGTAAGACTAACTCTAAACCTTTTTTTTCCTGACAGAAACAAAAACCCGCTTTCTTTTCCCTTTAGCTGTTTTTGTTTGTTGAGGTCAATATGCGAGCATATATCATTTCAAAATGACTGATATGTGTGGCCTTTATGTTTTATGTGTACAGTACCTACTTTCAACCATGGTAAGGCTTAAAAATTGAAAAAGAACAACTACAAAAAAATGTGATCTTACTACCATTTGTGTTTCTAACACCTACATGATTTTTCGTCGCAAATTTTGTAGTACTCTGGCGAGGTTAAGGAAAAATATTTCTGTTTTCGTGTATTGCCTGCTATTTATGTTTAAGATTATTAAAAGAGATTAAATTATAAACCGATATACCTATACATGTCAAAACTAAGTGAATATTTAGGACGAAGACACGCAAAGGTATAATTTAAGGTTTTTTAAAATGGTCATTATTGCTCTTTATCACATCATTATACGATTACTAGAAATCCGAACAAACGTATGCTATTGTAATTGTCTGATTTGAAGACCATTGTGCAACGAACTTGCTCAACGCTTGCCAAATTTGGTGAAATGAGATACTACTTTTTTTAATTTGTCAACGATTGGATAACCTTTGATCTAATAAGCATTATTCAATATGTTATTTTTTAAATATAATTTTGATGAAAATTGATATACTTGAACATTAGTCAGTTTTTTTTAAATTTCCACTACGTACATATTTTAATATTCTACTCCTTTGTTCCTCATCCATGTTGATTTTTTTAAATCTCTTTTGTTTTATTTGGCTACCTGTAGAAATTTTAAACGATATTATCGTAATTTTGCTAAGAAATAGAGTTCGCGACTATTTGACTTTCTATTCTTTTTCTATTTTTATACACAACCTTTCATAATTTTTATATTTTAAACTATTTTCAGTACAGTTCACCGCATTTTATTGTATACATTTTAAATTCTTTTGTGAATGTACGTGTGCGTTTTTGTGCTTGCATTTGACTTACATAAGAATAGTGTTTATGCAAAAAATTTATCAAGGACTTCATATCCCTCCTAAACGTATATATACACTATACGCTTTTGAAAACTTTAAACAGGATTTATTTATTATTAGTAACAAATAAATATAAGCGTAATAAACTTTTTTAAATTTTTATTTGACTATGGTTGTGCTAGCTTAGGTTAATTAGCTGCTTTACTCTTATGTAATAGAAATTAACAATTCTGTTGTACCATGCCTCCCCCTTTTAAGGTACTACCATCTGCTGATATAGCCTTTATAGGTCAATTGAAAGTTTGTTTAAAGTAACTTTGAAAAAAGATACAGAATTAAGTTACAGGTAAATTTTTTGTCCCAAAACCGATTATGTACTAATTTAAATGGATGAAAATGCACAATAGCATGATTTGCCGAGCCGTAGGGACAAAACTGGGCGTTACTTGATTATTTTTAAATTCTAAAGTGTGATTAATTGGAAAATAATTTAAAGAAATAAGCGTATATGTAAGAAAAGTAAAGTCCTGTCAAACAGGAGGGCTTAACGTCCACCATCCCGTTGAGTTTCGCGAAGGTGGAAAACCGTCCTATGTAGTAATTGTAAAGTTATGTTTGTTTCATGGCCAATTCCAGCATTCAAACCCAAAACCACTAGCATGAAAAATATTTGTCGGTGGATACAACCCCTCGGCCACCGCAATCCACGACAGCATGTATTGCTGATTTATTTAATTCTTTAGAAAATTACCTAAACTCATTTTCAATCCTAAATCTGTTAAATTATCATCATCACCATAGCCATGATACCCAAGTTAAAAATATTCTTCTATCTAAATATATAAAATTTATTGTGACTTTTATAGTTTTTCTATTTTATTTTTTATTTTATTTATTTATTACATTTGTTTTAGCCTTTAACTTCATACACGGAAGTTGGCTTCTTGCAGAAATACACATATAATCATAGGAATTTACAAAATATAGTTTTACAAGAAATTAGTTAAACACGAGGAAACAATAACAACCATTGGGTTTTAACAACCATTTTGATAACAATAATTAGTAGTAACAAGTTGACATAAATTTAATGCATTGAATTAAAGTAATGAATAATCGCACTGACTAATGGTAATGGAAATACTTATAAAATTACTATATTAATATTCTTTGAAGGTTTAATTGGTAAGTAATCATAACCAAATGAACAGATTAGTGTGTGACCATTGTTCTCTTGGGCTTTAGCCCAGATTCCGAGAGGCTGGAAGTGCCAATAGGAGGCCTGGTAGTGGATCGCAAAGCAATACGACACTAATGGAGAACAGAAATAAGGTCATTGCAGCAAGACGGAACCATTTCCATTGTGCCCATCAGATCCTAAATGAAGTGCAAGATGTTTTGGCATGACCTTTGACAACACAAACGATTCGTAATCGTATGAGACGACCTGTAGCAACAGCCCGCCACCAGCAACTCAGCAGAATATGGTTAGCTAGCGCCTAGAAGAGAACACAAATTGGAATTCTGTTATGTTTACTGATGAGTCGCGTTTCTGTCTGTATAGTGATAGCAAGCGCCGATGGGTTTACCAAGAACAGGGGATGAGTACAATGACCCAGTTCGTGCTCCCTTGTGCAGTTTGGAATAGAGGTGTAATTCTCTGGGCTGGGACTCACACTGGAGGACTATCTGGACTCCATATTGTTGAAGGCAACCACACCGAAGTCCGTCGGGTCCATGAAATTATCGAGGAATTCATCCCTCAACCTCGGATCTCATTGGCAGGGATTTTCCATTTCTGGATGACAATGCCAGACCTCATAGAGGCAGCGGTGTTCACCAATTAGAAAACCAGGGAATTTCCCATCTGCCCCTTCCCCCATTGTCTGCAGACTTCAATCCCATCGAGCACATGTGGGATGCGTTGCAGAGAAAGATTTTCGATCACCATCCACAGCCAGTTGCCCTGCAACCACTCAGTGCAGCGTTGCAACATCTGTGGAGTCAAATTTCTTATGGAATTAGGGACAACCTTATTAGCAGTATACCTAACTGGTTCACAGAGGTTTTAGCTAGCAAAGCAAATTATAGGACACCCTGTTTCTAATCTGACAAAACAACTCGGAGTACTTCGCGAGAGGTGTAATAAGTACTTTAAGAATTTTAGTTTTAGTTTTAGTTTGCATTGTCTCGGACAGTATGAGTTCCATAAAGCAGATCGAGCAATTTCTTCTAAATGTGTGATTACCTACTAGGGGAAATCATTAATACCATATACCACGAGTCTCTGCAGAAAATAGTAGTGTTTTACTGAAGTCGGGGATATTGTGGCATCCGTTATACTGTAGTAGTGGACCAATTGGCCAAAGAAGCGACAAAGCACGGAGAATATCACATCAAGCTGCCTAAGACGAGCGAAAAACGCCTAGTCACCAAATAGTTGATGCAAGAATGGAGCACGTATACCAGCGAACTGCGAGTTTGCTATAAAAATCCATGTTACAGGAAATAGTATCGAAACCTTGGTTCAACCACTCCGGTGCATACATGCATAGAATTGGCCGTACTCAAAACTGCCAGACGTGCGATGAGCCGAAAAACATAAAGAATATAATTTTGACGTACATAGAATACGAAAAGGCAAGACAGAAATTTTTCGAAGGGGGTATACGCTGAAAAATTTTGAGAAACCATTTTGCTGAGAATGCTTGCTTTTAACTCGAAATGTGACGTGGATAAATTGATATATGCATTTTTGAAAGAGTATGATAATGATGTGTGATTCTGTGCTATAGACTTTAGTAACGTTGTACATATGTGTCATGATCATTTTTTACTTATGTGTACAAATATTTATTTCATTGTTCTTTGTTTTTTTGTTAAATGATTTTTATTTACATAAATATAGCTGTTCAATTATTTACAAAGTACAGTACAGGCATGGATTACAATCCGTCTGCCAGAGGTCGTTATTAAGAGAAAAAAATAAAAATAATAATAAGGAAGAAATAGTAATAAAGAGAATAGGAATAAAGCGAGGTTTTAACATTATTTGCTATATGCTAGCACACACAAAACAAAATATGTTAAAAATAATAGTAAAAATACTTATAATAAAAAACAAACCAAGGGGAAAAGTCTTAATCGTAAAGTGACAAAAAAGCGGATAAAATAAAATCATATAATATGTAAAGGAAATTGGAACGAATTTGTTCTGTGTTGCTTGTTTTAATTAATTAATTAATTTATTATCTGATATGTATTAAATATTTGTTATATAATGGGAATATGTGTGTACTTTTGCTATATTTAAAGCAAAGCAATATAATAATATTAATAATAATAAAAGACTTTAGTTGTACTCTTTTCTGTTTAGGATTTTGGCCATGAGCCCAAACCTCTGAACAATTTAATAGACGAAATAAGGGAATAAACTGCCCAAAAATGAATAGGAATATTGCCAATTTTGTATTATTTATTTTTTATAGCATTTTTATTTTATTTTTATTATAAATTGCAATAAAATTTTTAGGAAAATTTAATTAATCTATTTTGAAAAATAATAAAACGAAAGGTTTTAATTCCATAATTTTGTTTATTGGACAAAATAGTATTTTTGAAAAATTAATACGTTTATTAAGTCCTGTTAGCTAAAACACTACTATTTTCTGCAGAGACTCGTCGTATATGGTATTAGTGATTTACGCTAGTAGGTAATCACACATTTAGAAGAAATTGCTCGATCTGCATTATGGAGCTCATACTGTTCGAGATAATGCAAACTTAAACTAAAACTAAAATTCTTAAAGTACTTACTTATAACACCTCTTGCGAAGTACTCCGAGTTGTTTTGTCAGATTAAACACAGGGTGTCTTGTAATTTGCTCTGTTAGCTAAAACCTCTATGTACCAGTTAGGCATACAGTTTATAAGGTTGTCACTAATTTCATAAGGAATTTCACTCCAAAGATGCTGCAGCGCTGCACTCAGTTGTTGTATGTCAACTGGTTGTGGATGGTGATCGAAAAGCCTTCTCTCCAACGCACGCCTCATGTGCTCTTGGGATTGAAGACTGGAAACAATGGGGAATGAGGCAAATGGGAAATTCCCAGTTTTTCTAAACACTGATGAACAACTCTGCCTCTATGAAGCTGGAATTGTGATCAAGAAATGGAAAATCCCTGCCAATGAGATCCCGAGTTTGAGGGATGTATTCCTCAATAATTTCTTGGACCCGACGGACTTCGGTGAGTTCAACAATATGGAGTCCAGATCGTCCTCCAGGGTAAATTCCAGCCCAGGCCGTTACACTGCCTTCTCCACACTGCACTGAAGGTAACAAGAACTTGGACATTTTACACCCCTTTTTTTCTCGGTAGATACTTCGGCGCCTGCTATCACTATACAGACAGAAACGTGACTCATCAGTAAACACAACAACTTTCCAATTGGTGTTCTCTTCTAGGCGCTCGCTGCATATTCTGCTGGTGGCGGGCTGTTGCTGCAAGTTGTTCAAACGGGCGTACAATGCGAGGCTAACTTCCTACTTTTAATTATTTTACTCATCTACAAATTTCTACAAATAAGATCAACAAAGAGCTAAGGCAAAAGCAATGTACTCATATAAAAAAAAGTTTTGCAAATCATAATATATCTGCTGACATTGAAGCATTTATAAAGTCGTGAGGAGTGGTCAAGAATGAGGTAGTTTAGATAACACCTTTTCATTTTATGCCAACGTTTAGACCTTTATTCGTGTCATCTTCAGGGCATAAAGTGTGTTGCTATTCTTGTGGTGTCATATTGGTTTTGCGTGAATGTGTTGTGTGTTCACAGCAACAGGTCACTCAAAGCATCATTATATATTAATAAGTAGTTTCAGAACCTCTGTTGAACATTATCTATTAAAAAATAACATAAAAACAAAGATTGGCCAGTAATAAAAAAGTCTTTTTGTACGTTAATAGAAAAAAATATCAAATTTAATCCTGACACAAAACGCATTACATGCTGTACCCTGCAACATGACGCATATTAAATATTGTTCTAAAGATCTTAACTTGTGATATAAAATAACTCTGTTATGAGAAAATAAATAAATTTTTAAAATGTAATATTAAACTATGGATCGCAAACCAACTATCTCCGTTTTAAATATTACATTACTTTAATACACAATTATAAACTGATCCAAAATGGATATGGGACATTACTAATTTTGTATTTACTTTTCATAGCATTTTTATTATAAATTGCATTAAATTTGTTAGAAATTATTATGTTTTTTACTGGATGAAAATTTGAATTGACACTTCGGATGATATCACTATGACGATGATGAAAAGACTAGAAAAGGTGTTTGTTTGCAAAATGTATAATCTTCATAATTACTATTTTAAAGTAAATTCGTTAATAAAAATGAGGATTAACATTTGTTTGTATTTTCTGTTTTGTTTTAACCAAATAACAAAAATCTATCGGTTAATTTAATTAAAATTAATAGAATAAAAAAAATTACAAATATTCCTATTCATTTTTAAGCAGTTTAGATGAGAGTCTTTTTATGTTTCCAACAATCGGATATGAAAGATTCCAGTATGTTCAACACTCTGAGCATCGAAGCACAGCCTTTCGCAACAAAATAAAAAGCAGCCTGAAAATTCTGCACATGTGTTACACACACACACACACACACACACATATATATTGATTAATAATAATGACTAATAATAATGATTAATTTCGTAATGGTATATATACATACATGCGCGGATTTGAGCTTATATAAATCCAAAAATCCACGCAACGATTTAGTATAAAAATAAATTTGTAAATATTGATAATTACAGTTTAAAAAAAGGAACCATGTTTTTGGAAATAAGAAACAGTTCGGGAATGAAAAAAATTTTAGGTTATTACTTGTGATAAATGTAAGAAAAAAATTACAAAACAGCAATATAATTCCTCCTTTTGTTAACGTTTAAAATATTTTTTAAATAAACCAGTTAATTACAAAAAATATAATTTTTTCTCAAATTGAAATTGTATTCGGTTATTACTTTATTTAGACAAAAAAATGTATAATAATCAAAATCCCAAAATCAAAATTTTAAATCACACATAAATAAACATGTATGCAGTTGTAAATTAATTGTGAATAAACACGAAATAAATTGTGCCAATAATTTATTTTTAGAATAAATCATGTAGGGTTTCATCCTTAATAATGATTAATTTCGTAATGGTAAGTACGATAAATATTTGCAAACGGTATAGAAATATTTTTTTCGTTATATAAATATTTATTTATTGTTCACCGATAAATGAGAAAACGTAGTATAAACCAATTTAGCAATCGATCAAGTTTTGAGTCGAATTCTTTAGAAATAACTTGGAATTATGTAAAACAAACACGGAGGGGGAGAGGGTTGTCCGAACTTGATTTGTATATAAAGCCCAAACCGGCCTTACCAAGTCAGTTCGATTCAAAATGTACAAGGTGAGTTAAATCTAACTTTTTTTTTTCGAATAAGATTCGGAATGAACAGGTGGCAATTAAAATTGCTGAATAGACAAGAACCACTGCGTAATCTGGTCCTTTAATTAAGTTGATTGATTTTAAAGCAAAGTTTACTTGATGTTTGCTTATTTAATTTTTTCTAGAATAATAGTTTGATTGCTTAGTTTAATTACCTATTTTATAAATTAATTTTTAGTTTGAATTTAATAAAGAATTTTATATAATTATAAATATCTTTAAAACATTTTAGTAAGTTTATCACAAAACACGCTGAAATATTGAAATAAATGTAAAAAATAATTTGTTTTAGATTTTCTTAGTGGCTTTTGTTGCGGTTTCTGTCCATGCCCAGAAGTATGGACATGAAGAAAGTCACCACGAAGTAGATTATTATGCTGAGCCTCATTATTATTTCGAATACGACGTTAAAGATACCCACACAGGAGATGTTAAGAGCCACAAAGAACAACGTAAAGGAGACCACACTCAGGGAGTGTACTTCTTGGTCGAGCCCGACGGCACTAAAAGGGTCGTCGAGTACTTCGTTGAAGGAAAGAAGGGAGGATTCGTCCCAAAGGTACACAGAGAACACTTGAAGCACCTCGACAAGAAAGGACACGGACACGGTGTCTCTCTCCAGAACTACAACTTCGAACAAGGAAAGGTGCAAGAAGTTGCCTACGAGTCGCACGGACACTCCGAAGGCGGATATGGTCAATCAGCCGGAGGTAGCTTTGGAGGTCACTCCGGTGGATCTGGTTCTCAATCTGGTGGTGGTCATGGCGGATACTTCGGAGGCAGCTCTGGCGGTTCTTCTGAAGGATACAAGTTTGGATCTCTCGGAGGTAGCTTTGGAGGCCACTCCGGTGGATTCGGCGGTCTCTCTGGTGGATCTTCTGACGGATACAAGTTCGAGTCATATCACGGCGCTCAAGAAGTTGGATTAGGCGCTTATGGTAATGGTGGTTCATCTGGCGGATCTTCCGAAGGATACAAAGTCGAATCTTCTTATCACGGTGGATCCCAGCAGGGCGGTAGCTCAGGCGGATACGGAGGTCATTCCGGTGGATATGGAGGTTCATCTGGTGGAGCCTCTGGATCTTCATACGGTGGATCCCAGGGCGGTAGCTCAGGCGGATACGGAGGTCATTCCGGTGGATATGGAGGTTCATCTGGTGGAGCCTCTGGATCTTCATACGGTGGATCCCAGGGCGGTAGCTCAGGCGGATACGGAGGTCATTCCGGTGGATATGGAGGTTCATCTGGTGGAGCCTCTGGATCTTCATACGGTGGATCCCAGGGCGGTAGCTCAGGCGGATACGGAGGTCATTCCGGTGGATATGGAGGTTCATCTGGTGGAGCCTCTGGATCTTCATACGGTGGATCCCAGGGCGGTAGCTCAGGCGGATACGGAGGTCATTCCGGTGGATATGGAGGTTCATCTGGTGGAGCCTCTGGATCTTCATACGGTGGATCCCAGGGCGGTAGCTCAGGCGGATACGGAGGTCATTCCGGTGGATATGGAGGTTCATCTGGTGGAGCCTCTGGATCTTCATACGGTGGATCCCAGGGCGGTAGCTCAGGCGGATACGGAGGTCATTCCGGTGGATATGGAGGTTCATCTGGTGGAGCCTCTGGATCTTCATACGGTGGATCCCAGGGCGGTAGCTCAGGCGGATACGGAGGTCATTCCGGTGGATATGGAGGTTCATCTGGTGGAGCCTCTGGATCTTCATACGGTGGATCCCAGGGCGGTAGCTCAGGCGGATACGGAGGTCATTCCGGTGGATATGGAGGTTCATCTGGTGGAGCCTCTGGATCTTCATACGGTGGATCCCAGGGCGGTAGCTCAGGCGGATACGGAGGTCATTCCGGTGGATATGGAGGTTCATCTGGTGGAGCCTCTGGATCTTCATACGGTGGATCCCAGGGCGGTAGCTCAGGCGGATACGGAGGTCATTCCGGTGGATATGGAGGTTCATCTGGTGGAGCCTCTGGATCTTCATACGGTGGATCCCAGGGCGGTAGCTCAGGCGGATACGGAGGTCATTCCGGTGGATATGGAGGTTCATCTGGTGGAGCCTCTGGATCTTCATACGGTGGATCCCAGGGCGGTAGCTCAGGCGGATACGGAGGTCATTCCGGTGGATATGGAGGTTCATCTGGTGGAGCCTCTGGATCTTCATACGGTGGATCCCAGGGCGGTAGCTCAGGCGGATACGGAGGTCATTCCGGTGGATATGGAGGTTCATCTGGTGGAGCCTCTGGATCTTCATACGGTGGATCCCAGGGCGGTAGCTCAGNTTACCTTCTGTTCATTAGGCTAAAATTTTTATTATATATATTTTATCGTTTTTTAAAACAAATTTGATGAGAATTTTCATACGGTTTATAAATAATGTTTGTTACAGCTTTGCCTCCTTGCTGTTGTCATCGCTGCCGTTGGTGCCCAACACTACGGGCACGAAGAAGGCCACCACCACCACGTCGACTACTACACGGAACCTCATTATTATTTCGAGTACGACGTTAAGGACCCTCACACCGGTGACTTCAAGAGCCACAAGGAACAGAGGAAAGGCGACCACACCGAAGGAGTCTACAGCCTCGTCGAACCCGACGGTTCCAAGAGGGTAGTCGAGTACGTCGTCGAAGGCAAGAAGGGAGGATTTGTACCCAAGGTACACAGAGGACCCGGTAAACTTGTTGACAAGCACGGTCATGAGGGACACGTCCACGCCAACTACAACTTCCACCAAGGGCACGTTCAAGAAGTCCAGTACCACTACAGTGGACACGGCGGACACCATGGAGGTTTCGGAGGTCAACAGGGTGGATTCGGAGGTGGACATGGAGGATACTAATTCGGCTACCAAATAATCATAGATTCATCAACAAACCCTGCCAATTCCATCATGTTGATTTTTTTTTTACTTTTTGAATAAATTGTTTTGTACATTTTTTAAAAAGTGTGGTACTTATGTCACCTTGTGTCTAAAAATTATATCTAAGTATCAAAAGTCTAAAACGTTGAAAACAATGTTATTGAACACGAAGAAGAATACCAAAATGGACTAGAACATTTTTCATATCGTAAAAAATATTTTAACGTCATTAAAAATACAAACACAGGCAATTTTTTTGTTATAGTCAAAAAGGTTTTTAATAACCTTTCACATGTTTAGTGGTCTAATTGTCCATATTAATTATTTCAATTTATTATTATTTTTATGTAAAGTCTTGGTTGAGATGAAAAAGGTACGAGCGGGATTCGAACCCACGACCTTTGTCTCAATAGCTTAAGTATGGCCTATTCCTCGGCCCGAAAAACGCGTCTGAGAAAGCTCGATAGGCTCTACTACCAGGGTCTCAGAGCGATCTCGGGAGCGTTCAGGACCAGCCCCTTGGCCAGTCTGTGCTGTGAGCTGGGGGTATTGCCTCCCGAATTACGGAGAGAGCAGCTCACCCTCAGTTACGCGGCCGGGTATCTGGCCAAGCCGTGGCATCCCCTANGTGTTCGGGGTCGATGGCGGAATATTTATAAAAGTACTCCATCGACCCCAATCTAGTTTAGTTCGAGTATAGGTCGGTGGAGGAATATCAACTACTCCACCGACCAAACGGAATGTGTGTATTGTATGGATGTATTTATGTGTATGAATGTATTTATCTGTATGAATGTAGTGTTTGTAAATAGAAGTGTAAATAGAATATTGACTTGACTTAGTTTGGGGCTGAAATGACCCAGATGTCGGAAGCCCCAGTAAAAAAAAAAAAAAAAAAAATAGCTTAAGTAGTTAGAGCAGCGGCCGGGTATTGAGCCGAAGGGGTTCGAATACCGTTCGTGGCATTAGCTTTTTCAACTCAACCAAGACCTTACATAAGAGGAATAAATAATTGAAATAAATTTGTTTTAACGAGATATAAAATCAAAGAGATATAAATAAAAAACATATAACATATAAAAACATAAATATACATTAAAACGAAAAATAAAATACATGTGTACTATACATCATGGTAATAAACCGTCTGCCGCGGTCGCGCAGATTATATTTAAAAAAAGAAAAGAGAAAATGTTAAGTGTACTAGAAGGGGATGCGATAATTAGTTCACTTTGGGTGTCATTTATAAAGGACTGGATATTAGAAGAAGCGGCAAGCAGATTACATTTATCGATATCAGCAAGTTTATCATCCCAAGCTTACCGACGTATCAAAAGTAAAACGGATTCTTTAGGAGTACCGATGTTAGAGTGAATAATCACATTAACGAGGAGGTGATCTGAAAAATGTTCAGTGAGGGCTCTAAAATCATGTACGAGATGTAAACATAAAGCCTGTCTATATTTACTAAATCATGTGTAGACAGAAGTCGAAAAATTTATGGCTACTTTCTATTAGGTTTCGTGGTCCGCTTGACCAAATAAATTCTTTTCAATTAATTAAGGTTTTGGCTGAGATAAAATGGCTTATGGCTACTGTTCAACCTTAGCCTTTGGAATTTTTAAACAGAGTACAATTAGGATTATCAAGTAGCAAATCATCAGGGAGAGGTTGTCAGTATACAATAGAAATACGTCTTGAATGTGCCTCATCCAAAGTGAACATAACATTTGACAAATGAAATAGTTTCTAACCAAACATAAAAATATTATATTTATGTCCTAGCTATTGATTTACACACGAAATATAAAAAAATCTATATTTACAAAAAATTCTTTTGTTATTAAAATTTTATTTTGAAATTTGAATATACGTAATTTTTGAGGTTTTCATTTGTTAAATATTCATATACTTTTGAATAACTTTACGTGTCTAATGAATAAATGAATGATTAATTCTTGTAATGTCAAAAAAGGCATAATTACTAAATTATCTGGTTAAGAGACTCCTGTTTGACATTGGTTGAGAATGTCTGATGTTTTCCTGCCTTGACAATCTTTTTAATTCTTGTCTAAAATTTGATTTATGGATGCTTTTGTAGCCTAATAAACTGTGTGTGAAATTTAATTTTTATACGTATTTAAATTCGTTTTGCCCTGATGATTACTTCAACTTATCATTCTTTTAATCATTATTTATTCTTGAATTTTACAATAATTTGTTGATTTTATTTTATGTCTGCTTTGATGATAAAAAAAATTATAACTTACACATTAGGAATAAGGCATTTCTAGAGACTATGTCAGCGGAATAAAAGCGCTATTACACATTGGCAAAGATGTATAGAATGTGTTTTAAAATATTTCGAATAAATTGTATTTTATAAAAATTACAAATAGTTTTGACTGCTTTTTCTGCATTTTTTTGCACCAGCCCAAGAGAAATACAACCAGCCCAACACTAGTAAATTTTTTTTGGACTGCTGGGTTCAAATGGAAATAACCCGTAGCCAAACAGGTATATTAACAGATAATCTTCAAAGTCGGCTCAAAAAATATTTGACAAGAAATTCCAATCACGAAATGTAATTAAGTAATGACTAATATTATTGGTACAATTATCTGGTAATTTAATAAATATACTTCTTTGACATAAATTACTTCATTATGCAATTTTTAACATGTTATTTTGTTTACGTCAGCTTTGAACGCGTGCGCTTATAATAATCAACCGTGAAATTTTCGTTATGTTACAATTCTTAAAACTACATTTTTTTTGTCTTCGTGAGTAGTCTAATCATCATTCAATGAATAAATAAATTATTAAGGCGAAGAAGAAGGAATTAATGGATTTTTAACTTGTCTATGCACATTAAATGAGAGTGTACTCTCTTTCGCTCTCTCTCTCTCTCTCTCTCTCTCTCTCTCTCTCTATATATATATATATATATATATATNATATATTACCTGTCGTTCTCTATCTTTCATTCTCTTTCTCAGCCTCTCCCGCTCTGTCTATATATCTCTCTATCTCTGTTTAATGTTTAGTTAGTTAACTAGAATAAACTTAATTTGAAAAGCATTTCTAATAATTTCATTAGTATTTTATTTCATTTTTAAATCTAATCTTATTATTTATATTTAATTTTTTTTATAAATTGTGTTTTTATAAAATAATGTAATTATTTATCTTTGGCTGTACTCAGCCAAAGTCAATTTATTCTTGTGAAGTTATCCAATATTAACAATATGCTTTGTTTTAAATTACTCTCAATTTAATTATTTACTTTATTCTTGACTTTTACAATAATTTCTCAATTTTATTTTAAGTATGATTCGACTATGTTATGTAGAAGAAAGGTCCTAGAGACCAAACGTTTGCGTGGATTTTTATGAATAAATCGTTAATCAATCAATCTGTTTCACCACCTCTCTCATTCTTTCTCCCTCTATTTTTTCCTCTTTATATTTCATTCTCACCATCTCACTCTCTATATTTCTACATGTCTATTTAATATTTAGTTAGTTAATTACAAATTAAATACTTTTACATTAACTTGTAAAACATTACTAATCATTTTATTTCATTTTTAAATCTTAAAATTATGTTACTATTTTAAAAGATTCCTTGCCAAGTTCTTAAGAAATATCTACACCTAATTTTGTTTATATAACTTGTGTATGATAAAACAATAATAATAATAATAATTATAATATAATATTTATCTTTAGCTGTAGTTAGCCAAAGTCTATTTAATCTTGCGATGTTTCTCAATATTAACGGTATACTCTATAGAAACATATAAGTTACATGTTTAACTAACTCTCAATTTAATATTTACTTTATAAACTACGTAGAAAACAAACACTTTGAGTGAGTAGAAATACTTTGATTGAATATAATAGATATATTTTTGCATTTTATAAATTCACTTTTTTCCACATCCTACATGTATTTGTTAAATTTAAACAACGCTTGTAAATCCCAGGCCCTGAAGATGATCTCAATAAAGATCGAAACGTTGGCACGACAAAGAAAATGTTTTTCTGAAACCTACATCACACCACACCGATTTCTGAATAATCATTTACTTTATTCTTGACTTTTACAACTTTAAGTACAACATTTTAAGTAAAAGAGGGGCCCTAGTGACAAAACTTTTGGGTGAATTTTTTATAAGTAAATCGTTAATCAATCAATCTATCGTCTCTCTCTCCCCTTTCTTTTTGTAGATTTTTCTCTTCCTCTCTCTCTCACTCTCTCTCTCTCTCTCTCTCTCTCTCTCTCTCTCTCTCTCTCTCTCTAGTGCTCTCTCTCTCACTCTTCAAGTTATCTATCTGTCTATCTATCTATCTGCCTATCTATCTATCTGTCGCTCTTTCTATCTATTTTTTACCTATCTGTCTGTCTATCTATCTATCTGCCTATCTACCTATATATCTGTCTCTTTATGTATCTATTTTTTACCTATCTGTCTGTCTATATATCTATCTATCTGCCTATATATCTATCTATCTATCTGTCTCTCTCTTTATCTATTTTTTTACCTATCTATCTATCATTTTCTCTATCTATCTGTCTATCTATCTATTTATCTGTCTCCCTATCGATCAATCTTTTTACCTATCTGTCTATCTATCTATCAATATGTCTTTCTATATATCTATATAGGTATCTACCTATCTATCCATCTATTTACCTATTTAACTATCTATCTCTACGTAATCTATCGATCTGTTTGTCTCTCTCTATGTTCTGTCTGTCTGTTAGTCTAAATCTCTTCGAGATTTGAGATTGTAGGATTTGGGTTGGAACGTTCGGGTGCCGTATAGTTCAATTCCGAACGTATAGGAACAAGAAGATAGTGTAATTTTTTGTAGTTTAGTAGAGTCAGGTTGAACAATTTCTCGAGTTTGTTCGATATTTGTTATCTGTGGTTTCAGCCTGTACAAGTCGAGTGGAAAGTTGGATCGTATTTTGGATAGGAATATTGTTAAAGTGAAGCAATAGGAAAAGTTTTCTGTTTAGAGGAAGTCTATTTGTTTTGATTTGTGTTAATTTAGCTTGATTCTCCAATGCTGGAGCCAGAGCCAAGAACTACTAACTGACTGTGTAGAATATGTACTAGGTAGTAAGACTTAGATCTTTATCACAGACAGTATTCCTTTATAGCCAGGGAATTGTAAGGTTATTGTTTCAGGTTGGGTGGGTAGGTCAGCTTATAAATAGTGTATAGTAGGGGAGCAAATGTGCACCCCTGTGAGCCTCCTGCTCCGAAACGTATATAGTGATAAGAGAGATAGATTTAACAATGACATAATTGGTAATGCGTAATATGGCTTTAACTCGTATAAATTACAAATACATTATTAATTAGAGATATTATACATTTATCACTGTTCTCATAAATGGTCATATCTTATGAAAACAATAAATTAAAAGACTATTTCCAAATAATTTATTAATTCTACAATGATTAATAATTAATCTATAGTGTCCTAAGAACTCCTGGAGCGTGTAAACAAATAAGTCATAATTTCACCTCGTTACCATACAGGTGGCCATGTATTACAAACAAGTTATTAAGAGATTGTTTCCACATAACAAGGAACGCGACTGGTTTTGACTATAGAGTGCAAACCAAATGGATAAGCGGTTTATGCTCAAAACCCAGATTAGGAGATTATTACGTGAATTAGTTTTTTATAGGACACAAGAGCATGATATTGAAAAATAATTCATTCACAACAGTTGATCGGCGTTTTCTATTTTTAAAAATAATTACACAGTAAGATTTTATCATATATACTATGAAGTCCGAGAATGTTCCTAAAGTTGGAATGTTTGTGTTTAAAAACCTTGGCGATGAACACATGAAGATAATTAAGATGAAGATGAAATATCTAAACAAATATACCACCCAACAACATAACAATTTGTTTTTTACAAACAATAATTTGTCTTGTATAAGTTCAGACGTCCTTGTGCACTATAAAAGTGTCTTAAGAAAAATTCATAATTTCAGGTTTTGTATGTGCAGATACATTTTGCTCGACGTTACCAATTTTAACATTATTGTTTTTTTTTCTAATTTCAAAATGTAATCTTAATTAAAAATAATTTTTGCAACCTGTAATGCAAAGAAAAAATAAATCGACCACTTGTATTTATTTGTTTATTTTCTGTAATAACTAAATATAAAGGGGGACATCGGTGGCCGCAACGGTTTAGGCGTTGACACGACGCTCATCACTGTAAGATAAAGGTCCCGGGTTCGAATCCAGCGGCCCTGCATTTGAACCCGACATACTTACAAATGGGCTTTTTTTCCGGCACCTTGAGGGTTTATATGACCTCTGCAGTTGCGATCCCTCGTAAAAAAATATATATCACAGTTAGTATAGTGCTTGAAAAATAAATACAGCATTAATAACTTACTGTTTCCCTTCAAGGGGTGTTACTAATCCTTTTACATTCTTTAGATTGACTATACAGAAAATAAGTTCTATTTCATTCTTTCCAGAGCCTATGTCCTCAGTGAGTGTAAATGGAACCCCATTGCCTATCAATGACCTTGTGCACGTTTCCTTGGACTTTCCATGGACAAATCACTGATTTACATCTCGTGCAAGCTTAAAAAGACAGCAAACAAACCGACGTTATAAATCATTAAAAACAATACTTTATTCGCGATCAAAATCTTTATGTAATACCATATTTGCAGTTGTAAATAACAAATAAATGTTATTACAAAAATCCAGAGCCAACTTGTCGAGTGAGGTGTTTGTTTTTGAAATTGTTTTACTTGATGAAACAATAAATTTGGGTGAAAATAATTAATTAGTAATAATCATAGTTTAAAGTCGAGAAGATCTCGCCCGAGCAGATACTTGGCCAAAGACAGATGTAGTATTTAATTAATTAAGTCCTCGGTTTGGCGCCCTCTGCCATACATGATGGTCTATAGGGTTTAGGCCACCGAAAGACTCGATTGACGAAAACGTAGTGGTCGACAGAGATGTACGGCAGCTAGAAATGATAATTTTATTGCTCTTACTACACGACCGTCATTTGACGGCTTCTATGATACGTAGTCAACTCCAAACGGTCCGCAAAAGTAAGGCTGAGCTGTAAACATTACCAGAAGGCTTCGTAGGACTTCGTTCGATAGTTATGTATCATCTTGGTCTGCTTATCCGCGGTGGTTTTTGTTGGTGCAGACGCGTTTCGGTAAGTCGCCATCTTCAATGTTTAGGTAATTTCTGTAGAGTGAAGTTTTCGTTACGAGGTCATGAATGGTGTACATGGTTCTGTAGGCATTAGTGTTGTTTGTTGGTGTTTTTGATGGATTAACTCGAGGTCTTTTTGGATACGTTACAGGCTTCGATCAATAATCATTACGAAACGAAATCAATTTAAAAACTCCGTTCACATATAGATATTTATTTTAGCAAATTGATGTAAGAAAGCCACATTTTCGGATTTGTCCATTTGCCAACCCTTTTACATCGGTGGGGGAAAAGAACCAGCGTGACTGTCTGATATATAAAGCCCGTTGGCCCCCTTCACATTCAGTTCAACATTACAAGCGAAAATGTACAAGGTGAATGGTCTTTTAGGATCATAGGAAACTTTTATGTTTACACAAATATTAATTTCCTATTTGCTTTTCTTTTAACTTCAATTTATTGTTGGCAATTTTTAAAAATGGTCATTATTATTAATTGTTTATATTAATCCATATATATTTTAGTTGGCACTTCTTAACCAAAGTGCTTATTTAAATTGATTTATAATTTTTATGTAGAGTTTTGATTTTTCATCTCAGCCACATTTTGCATGAAAATTATAAATCAATTTAATTGATTATTATTACAGTACTTTGTTTTTCAAGTTACAATTATTTTAATGTGTGAAACATTTTGACTGAGAATTTATACAGCTAATACAATAATTTAAATAAACTATGGATAATTTTTTTTACATTTGATATAGTTTTTTATAAGCAAAAAATGAACATATCATATTATTTTGTATTGTAAATTTGATTAGAAGGTAAATATGGGTTTATAAATATTGCTTGTTACAGCTTTGCCTCCTTGCTGTTGTCATCGCCGTCGTTGGTGCCCAACACTACGGGCACGAAGAAGGCCACCACCACCTACTACACTGAACCTCATTATTATTTCGAGTACGACGTTAAGGACCCTCACACAGGAGATGTTAAGAGCCACAAAGAACAACGTAAAGGAGACCACACTCAGGGAGTGTACTTCTTGGTCGAGCCCGACGGCACTAAAAGGGTCGTCGAGTACTTCGTTGAAGGAAAGAAGGGAGGATTCGTCCCCAAGGTACACAGAGAACACTTGAAGCACCTCGACAAGAAAGGACACGGACACGGTGTCTCTCTCCAGAACTACAACTTCGAACAAGGAAAGGTGCAAGAAGTTGCCTACGAGTCGCACGGACACTCCGAAGGCGGATATGGTCAATCAGCCGGAGGTAGCTTTGGAGGTCACTCCGGTGGATCTGGTTCTCAATCTGGTGGTGGTCATGGCGGATACTTCGGAGGCAGCTCTGGCGGTTCTTCTGAAGGATACAAGTTTGGATCTCTCGGAGGTAGCTTTGGAGGCCACTCCGGTGGATTCGGCGGTCTCTCTGGTGGATCTTCTGACGGATACAAGTTCGAGTCATATCACGGCGCTCAAGAAGTTGGATTAGGCGCTTATGGTAATGGTGGTTCATCTGGCGGATCTTCCGAAGGATACAAAGTCGAATCTTCTTATCACGGTGGATCCCAGCAGGGCGGTAGCTCAGGCGGATACGGAGGTCATTCCGGTGGATATGGAGGTTCATCTGGTGGAGCCTCTGGATCTTCATACGGTGGATCCCAGGGCGGTAGCTCAGGCGGATACGGAGGTCATTCCGGCGGATATGGAGGTTCATCTGGTGGAGCCTCTGAAGGATACAAGTACCAATCTTCATACGGTGGATCCCAGGGCGGTAGCTCAGGCGGATACGGAGGTCATTCCGGCGGATATGGAGGTTCATCCGGTGGAGGATACAAGTATCAATCCCAGGGTGGTAACTCAGGTGGTCAAGGAGGTAATGCCGGAGGCTATGGTTATGGCGCTCATTCTGGTGGTTCTTCTGGTGGATACGGCATGTCCCACGGAGAAGGAGAAGCCACATCCAGAGTTACATTCTCAACTCACGGCGCCAAGGTCTACACTTCTACTAGACACGTCGTTCCTCAGAAACACGGCCATCACGGTTACTAGAAAAACGATAATCTCAAACCTAGTTGTCTGTATTATCATGTAAATAAACTTTTTATACTTTTTTAATAATTCACGACTTTTATTCCCACAGTTCCTTATGCAAAAAATCGACTTATGTGTCTATGGATAACCTTGTATGATGTCGGTGTTGCTGACCAGCAAATTTTTATTTTGGTTTAATATTATATGGGTAGTACCAAGGCTGTTGTCAGCTGTAAGACACTTATCACCTGACAAATTTTCGGCCTATATTTGACCTTCTTCAAGATATAATGTTCTCTCGAATACTCACTTGGTGTTGTTTTTCTGGGATCCTAGGTTCGTTGGCAAGAACGCTAGGACTAGTGTCAAATGTTTTTTGACCTAGCATCAAAAAAATTTTTAAATTAAAACTCTTACGTCCGTAACTTCCTCAACTTCTTTTTTCTTTCAATCTGGCCTTACCCACGATTTCTAATATACAATTATAACAATGAAGACTGATAATAATTACATCCGAGTAGTTTAAACTTTAATAAGTTAGTAACAATATAACAATTTTAAATCCATGGTAAGCATACTCTCAACTTTGGTTCAGTTCGAAAAAAGCAATTTTGTTTGCTTTTGGTCGAATTACAATAGTTTTTTTACACGTTGAGCATGTTCGAGTTGACAGACCTATTGACAGGGCTTTACATTCAACCGGTCGATAGAGTATATAGAGTTTTATAAGCGAAAATTCCCTTCTTTGTTCAAGCTGAATAAAGCAGTGTTACATCTTGACAACTGTCCGATTATTTTGCGTTTGACGCAGTCACAATTGACAAAAACGCAAGGTATAACGGCAAACATTCAAAATATAAAAACAAAAATTGATCAGTATAATAATAATATAATAGTAATAAAGTGTTTATTTGCTTTGTTTAGCGCACAAAGTACAATATATAATTTGAAATATAAACTTATACTTATTATACGTATCACGTCTTGACATAGAGTCCTTCGGTCAAGTTGCGAAACTTACGAAATAATTAGCTAGTAAGTATAGGTGTAACCACATATGTAAAATTCTTAATAAATAATTAAACTAAATACCATATACATTAATATAAAAAATATAAATCTTATGATTTATATTTACTTAAATTATTTTTATATACACAATATTGCAAATATTAACATTATTATTTCAAATTTTTATGCAAATTACAATATTATACACAAACCTGTCAATGAAACGACTCTAGCCAAATCTGAATCTTTTAAAACCATCACTCAATCAAATTTGAAACTTAAATGGTACAAGTTAAAAAAAATATCCAATTACCGCTACGTTATAAAGAAGCTTTTCAGAAAAACCAACATAAAATATATTGATTATTCAAGGATACCAGCATAAGTGGGAGATTTTATCTATGTTTTCTTATAATCTTTTAAAACAAACCAAATATTGTTGTAATATAATCAATGGAGAGTTGTCTGAAATATAAGTAAAAATAGCCACTTTTTTGCCTTTAAGTCTAGTATGTACACGGTAGATTATTCTTTATGTGTGTTTTTTACCCTGAGAGTGAATGTGTTTATTAGAGTGAATGCTTAGTGCGAGAGAATATTGTTATTACCCACAATCAGATTAGTCATATCATTTGTTTATAGTGATAGAGCAATATCAAGAACTTCATCAGAGTACTTGAGTTAATGTAAATTGGAAAAAAATATATTTAAGTGATAGGGTTTCTAGCTATGGGGCTGCAATGACCTAGCTGTTGACAGCCACTGGAGCCTACGGCAGCGGTACGGACTTTCTGGAGGTCTGACCCGGGACTTTCAAAACAAATAAGTGGGTAAGAGGGGAATGCCAATTCTGTGCATAATATGTAAATGTATGTGCAGAGTTGAGCCTATGCCAATATACGCCATGCCAAGTATCATATTTTACCCATTTCCAAACCCGTAAAACAAATCTATACAAATATGTAGAATATACATTACAATAAATTTAAATTAATTATTCTTTTTATTTACGGTCTCGGTTGAGATAAAAAAGTCAGTGTCACTAACGGGATTCGAACTCACGACCTTCGGCTAAATACACAGCTGCTCTCTATTTAGCCGAAGGTCGTAGGTTCGCATCCCGCTCGTGACACTGACTTTTTTATCTCAACCAAAACCTTACATAAAAAGAATAATTAATTGAAAGAAGTAACTTGGACAATTGACCACTAAAATGTAAATGAATTACAATATTGTGTATCAAATGACAAATCAACAAAACAAATTAAAACATTAGAATTGCTTTGTACACGATTTTATTTTAATTTCTGTACCTATACTCATAGTCAATTTGTTACTCTACACGCCAGAAAAAATACGGGTTTCTAAAGCATAATTTTCAACTTAAAATATTCAGACAATTAACCAAATCTATGTTCCTAGTTTAGTAATAAGCAAGATTGGCAGAAAAACGGAATTTGAGTCCGGTATTAACCTGCTTATACGCCGAACTTCCTTCACTTTAAATGGATTATGTTATGAACAGAACATTAACAATGCGAAAAAACAGGAATTTTAAATTATATTGGAATAGATTTTTTTTGTTCCAATGATAATTGGATAAAGAGTGAGAGTATTGTCACGTTTTCTACTTTTTATAATATTTTAATATCATATGACTAGGCATGCTGGAATAATTATGAAACTTATCTAGAATAATTAAAGTGTGGTAGATTATGTAATTTTTTTAAAAGAAAATCTACATATATAAAATAAATCTGAGAATGCCGGTTTCAGTAGTTAGTTATAGCAAACTTTTATCAATATAGAGCATAAAATATTCAAATGATTTAAAAAAAAATGTGAGAAAGAAACAATCGTGGTCGTTTAATTTTGTCGAGCTTGTGGCTAAGAGGTCAGTTTCCGACTAGACAAAAATGCGATTTCGACATAATTCTGCAACCGTAAAAGTAAACACAATATTATCAACTAGTAAAAGGATTCGGTGTTGTAAATAAGACCAACAAATGAAGCTGAAAAATTGCATAAACGGATCGCATGCATTGGAGGGGAAAACCAGACATATAAAAAGGTTATTCCCGAACACAATTGCATCAGTTCATTTGTCTGGTAGACAATGTATAAGGTGAATGACCCTTTTGTTCGAATAAGACTGTTTATTCGGTTATGTGCTGTGATTTGAGCTTTATCATAATTGAACTAAATTTTGACGAATTTCAGATTATTCTTGTGGGTTTGGTTGTGGCCGGAGTCAAGGCACAGCACTACGGTGAACACGGTGGACATCATGGAGTTGACTACTATGCTGAGCCGCATTATTATTTCCAGTACGAGGTTAAAGACGACCACACTGGAGATTTCAAGAGTCACAAGGAAGAACGAAAAGGCGATCACACCCACGGAGTGTACACCGTGGCACAGCCCGACGGTTCCAAGAGAGTCGTCGAATACTCTGTCGAAGGGAAGCATGGTGGATTCGTACCAAAGGTGCACAGGGACCCGGTAAAACACATCGACAACAAAGGACACGGGCACGGTGTCTCAGTGGCCAACCAGAATTTTCACCAAGACGGCGTATATGAAGTCAACCATCCGCACGGAGGATTCGGTGGCGGGTTTGGAAATTACCACTCTGGTGGGTTATCTGACGGGTTTGCCGGACATTCTGGAGAATTGTCCGCCGGATCTTATGGAAGATTGAACAACGGAGGCCACAACGACATAGGATACAACAACGGAGGATACAGCAATGGAGGAGCTTCTTCAAGCGTGTCATTGTCTACAAACGGAGCTAAAATCTACACGTCTACGAAACATTTAGCTCCACATGGTCATGGATATTAGAACCTGTATGTAAAAACTAGTCATTTTTTGCACCATTTTATGTAATAAAACATTTGTATTTTCATTGTTATATATAATTGTTTCACCTATTCATAAACCTAAAATCTCTCAGCAATATTAGTAAAATCCATAGCGAACATTTTTGGTTCTATAACCATCTTTTTATTAGTAAATCATTGTCTTTCTGATTCTATCCGAAAGCAGACACGTGAAAATTGATGGTTGTCATAAATGAAAGAAAATTGCTACTATAAAATCGGTGAAGTTATAACTTAATAGAAACATCTGTGATATTATAACTTTGGATAAGGTTATATCAAGGATTTTGAAGAGAAAACCAATATGGTTACTCAAAATTTAAACGTGTCTTCTTTAAAACTATACATTGGGTAGTGAGTAGTAAATTCCAGAGCCGTTTGGAATTACCTTTAAGACTCTGTCAGACATCGGAAAAACAACAAAATTACCCTTGTTTAGGGCATCTGAGCATATATGGCAGTGGAGCAACAGGTCGGGCAAGGAAAATACAATCAGAAAACCTATTGCTCTGAACCGTTTTACAAATATATATATATATATCAGACTATCAGACAAGGCTTAAGCATAAGTCCTTGGTTGAATGGGAATGCCATGAAAAAAATTCGTCCAAGACCATCTCAACTGAACCTAGAATGATTTAGGACTAAATGGGCAGTAGGACTGCTGTCTGGACACTGCAAACTCCTGAGGCAAATAATCGGAGCAGCAGAAACATGCCCGCGCAGATATCGCCAGGAAGAAAAAACAGTGGAATGTGTCATGTTTTGGGTGAGAAGGCATATACCGGCTGAGATTCTTACTCTTACGGAAAAGAAAAGCCTAGGTTTGAAGGATAACGACACGAGCCTTTATTAGGAAAGCTATAGGGTCTGATAAAAAGCCTTAAAGCTAAACGAAAAGATCTAGAAAATAATGGAGATTGCACAGTACATTGGTTGCGGTAAGTCGTAAAGAGGCCGAATCCTTATAACCTTTTTTCTTTAACTGCCAGTACAGTGGATGCAGTTGTACTACAAAACAAAATTTATTTTAGACTTATAGTTAAAACTCCTTGTTACACTAGGATTTCAAATAAAGTATTTTTGACTTATTTGTACACCAAATATGATTAAACAAAATTGTCCATTATACATCCTCTCTAACCTTGCTAAACTTGTCCATTTACCTAGAAAACTCCAATCTCCTTGTCTTTGATAAGGCAGATCACCCTCTTCTCCTTAATTTATCTTTCTCTACAGTGTCTTCCACTGTTTCCACTATTTTTACCGTTCCCAAGAAGTCTTCGTTCTAAATCAGCCTCCATCTTCTCCCATATCCAACATCTTTGGTAGCCTTAAAGTCTCAAGCATCATTTGCTGTTACATGTTTCCCCAAAATCCATAACATACAGTCACTTTATGCAGATGAGACTCAAATTTACCTTAAGGCGCAATCAGAGATAACCCCCACCTTCCGATAAGGATGATCCGACGAGAAGTTTTAGTTCAGCGCTGGCCAGCCAAGAGGTGACAACAAACCTGTTGAAAACAACACAACGAGGCATTTTTTTGTTCCTCTCTTTCTTCTTTCTTTACTACCAACACCGCCCAACATTGGAGTCTGGACTGCCTTTACTTCCAACGCCACCCGATGTTGAAGCCGGAACTACGGGCACGTCTTCCAGGGCAGTGAAAATTACATTTATATGTGTTTCGGTGAAGGACAGCTAATCAAAAAACAACATTATTTTTTGTCATTTTTTTATGTTAAAAACATTTTTCGCAAACAACGAAAACCTTCTCAAAGAATATTTATGTTAATTTCCGAGACTTGCAAGTGTTGCCTTATCTTCTTTTCTTCTTTTTAATTTCTGTTCCTTTGAATTGTCAAAATATATTTGTGTACTCGTATGTCCTTTTTTTTATATCCTTTTTGCACGCATTGTTCATTACACCCCCCAATCAATTTGGATTGATCGAAGAGTGCGGGGGGATTCATTAACCTCTCAAAATCAGAAAACGTAACAACCTTTAACTAGAAACTCTACTGACTCTACCTCCTCTGTTAACATTCATCCAAGGATAACCTAGGAAAAACTCTTTTGGCCTCCAAAAACATTCAAATTTGATGGGAACTAAACAATTCGGGCACAGATTCTTAGAAATGGGGACTGACTATATGACCCCGGAAACATTCTTTACAACATCTCAACAGACTACAAAGCAGATGAAGAACTGAGGTATTGTATCAGATATAATGATGTGATATACAGATGGCTCCGAAACAAACCCAAAATATGAGCAATCAAACTCATTGGGGAAGTACACTTCGATCTTTCAAGCAGATATACATTCCATCAATGCTTGTGCCCTGGAAAATCTTAAAAGAGGTTACGCTGGCAAAAAAACCTCCTAAGATTGGATAGCCAAGCATCTATCATACCATTAGCGAGTAAAAAAAAATCAAATCAAAACTAATCAGTGAGTGCGTCCAAAATCTCTAAAACCTGGGGAGACACAACGTCTGATGATATCTTGGGTGTCATGACACAAAGAAATTTGGAGTAACGAAAAAGCGGACACACCGGCCGAGGAGGGAGGTTATGCAAAACCATATATGGGCCCTGAACCTATACTTGGGAAAACAAAAACAAATACAGAATCTAAACTTTAGGGGCACTAGACACAGTTAACTAATGCTAAAACAACCCTTACCAAGCCTGGAAAATTCATTGCTGCAATTGGAGAGGCCAGACTCAGAAGAGTGGTAGGACTATCAACGGTACTGGCTACTGAGAAAACATGTACATAACGTATATAATGATGATCCCATTTGCAGATTATGTAATGAGAAGGATTAAACAGCCACCCATATATTCTTCGAATGCAAAGCAACAGCTCAATGGAAACATAACCTGTCATACAGAAAAACCTAGGGACTAAAATTGTAGCAGCAACAGTCAATGATATCTGAGAAGAAGGATTGAGTCGATTGCACTGAACTAGGTAACTAGGAAGTTACAATAAGCCTGAAGGCTGCAGTGCCCGGGGAGCACAAGACCCACTCATTCATCTTCATCATCACCATTCATAGAAGATGAAACTATATCTTATATTTTAATTTTATTATTAAGGTATTATTTTTATAAAGGTAAAGTTAATAACAAATAATACTATATTTTTATTTCTAAGAGAATTTTTATTTTTTTAAATGGAAAAGTACTTATCTATATCCTTGCATAATTTTATGTAGATGATGATTAGATTTTGTTAAAGCGAGATATACCAAAAAAGAAAATATGGTTTTTTTTTAATGAGAAATCGTTAAAATGAGAGATTCAAGATCTATGAAACCCACTTCGTAAAAAAGGGAAATGATGTCAGGTCCAATCTATTTACAACACTCGTTCGCTAAAAAATCAATGGGTCTTTTGTAAAGAAAACATAATGACAACATTCTCAACCTGTTATTAAATCACAGTTGGGTCTATAAAAAAATGTTCGAAATTACATAAAACTAACTATTTGTCTTGGGGGGGAAAACAGGGTAGTGACTATATATAGGTCGGACAATCTGGTCCTTACACATTCATTTCTTTACCTTTTCACAATGTACAAGGTAAATAAACTCATACTGAAGTTTAAAGTTTTCTTTCACAAATGTCATTTTATAGTGAGAAAAGTTAATTTTTTTCAAGTGAAAATAGTTAAAATATTTTTGCTATTAACTGTGCAATTTTATGACTTAGAATTTATAGAAATATTTTTACCTTCTGTTCATTAGGCTAAAATTTTTATTATATATATTTTATCGTTTTTTAAAACAAATTTGATGAGAATTTTCATACGGTTTATAAATAATGTTTGTTACAGCTTTGCCTCCTTGCTGTTGTCATCGCTGCCGTTGGTGCCCAACACTACGGGCACGAAGAAGGCCACCACCACCACGTCGACTACTACACGGAACCTCATTATTATTTCGAGTACGACGTTAAGGACCCTCACACCGGTGACTTCAAGAGCCACAAGGAACAGAGGNGAGAACGCCCCTTCATCAGTAAAATGATTTTAGGTCGTCATCAGGACAAAACAACCATAATGTTTACAGATATTTAAATTTTTACAGCCGATCTCAAACAATGAAATACATCGGACAATCAAGACGAATAATAAAAGACAGATCCAAAGAATGTACACCTCCTGGTACAAACTTTAAGGACATAAAAAAATTATGTTATATAAACTCTGTTCTGTAATATATTCTTTAGATTATGTTTAAATTCGTCCGTGTGAAGTCTTTGTACTGATAAACATAAAAACTGTTTAAAAGGATTTTCAATTCAATGTCACTAATTTGTCGATATCACCTGAACAACTACTTCAATGACAGTACGGAAAATCAGTTTATATCAAACTTCTCAGGTGTAATACTTCGTTTTGACAAGTTTTTATGTTTTGTCGAGTATATTTATTGCACTTCTTGTTAACCATAATGCCGAAAAAGATGTGCTTAAATGACTACGAAAAAGGACAAATCGTTGCGTTCCATGATGTTTGTTTGGGTTGCCGCGAAATAGCAGTTGGTATTGTATGTTGTACAACTGTCGTGAATAGTTTTTACATTGAAGATAGAACTACGATAGAAAAAAATCCAGTGGAAGGCCGCGGAAACATTCAAAGCGCGATCAACGCACAGTTTTAGGTCTCCTTCTTGAAAATATTCATGTCAGGACGTTATTCAAACGACGAGCCTTCCAGTATGTCGAATAACAATTAAAAATACGAGTAAAAAGCTGAGAATATAGTCTACATCTTGAAAAAGGCAGAGCCTCATTTATTATAGCGACACAAAATTTAGCGCTTAAAATTTGCCTACGACGTCATAACTTTGGGGTTAAATTGACTAACGTCATGTTTTCAAAACAAAATATCTGGATGGATCTGATGGATGGAATATTACTGGCACGATTTGAGGAGAGAAAAAGAATTTTTTTTCTCAAACACAACTTGGCGGTGGTTCCGTTATGGTATGGGGTTGTTTTCTTATAATGGTGTGAGCTCTCCGACATTTATTTATAATGTGATAAATGTCGATGGATGTAAATAATTTATAATAGAACGTCTTGTGCCTAATGCTGAAGTGCTAGTAGGTGACAAGTGGATATGTCTTTGATTGTCAAGTATTAAAAACTTGGATGAACTGCAATAAACCTCCATAAGCGGCCAGCGTAAAGTTCAGATATGATCCCGATCGAGAACTTGTGGGGAGATCTGTCTAGAAGAGTATATCGAAATGGGAAGCATATTCCAATCCTATCCAACATTATGGCAAAATTTGTTGAAATAAATGAAAAATTGTGTTTTTCATTTATAAAAAAATGGAGGTCATATAAACTAATACCTTAACAATTTATTAACTGGCCTTAAACTTAATGTTCATTGCTAAAATTCATGTAATATCATTAAATGCTTATTTTAAAAAATCGTGCAAGAAAAAATATTCAATCGTCCTATAAAATGTATTATTTTCATTACAATAATTAAATAATTTGTAATTGGTAAACTGTGTAAAAAACCTAAAACTCTCTCTGTCATGTACATATGACTTTTGAGCGATTAAGTATATGTTGTATACCTATAATACGGCATGTTGTGTGTTAATTGGCAAAACTAGATAATAAATTGTTAATTAAATAACCATCACTAAACTATTTTCTGGAGTGTTGGTAAATTTTATTTCAACCCAACATAATTAATCTCCTTCACTTTTGGACAAAAAGCACTTGAATAAATAAAAGAGAGTTTGTATGTACCTATGACTTTTGAGCGATTAAGTATGTGTTATATACCTATAATATGGCATGTTGTGTGTTAATTGGCAAATATGACAGTTCAAAATCTTGGAAGCACAGAAGATTAAAACATATTTTAACCACCAGCCTCGTTGTTTTACATTTGCTTGTAATGTAATGTTTATTTATCAACCTATTAAATTATTACTTTTCTGTAAAGTTATTAATTTATTAAATTATTAACTTACTGTTGTTTAATTGTTTAAAAATTAATCAAATTATAGATTCATTCTTCTCATTTTCCTTCGTGGTTGTTAGCTTATTTTTTAAGGGGAATATATTAAAAATAATACTAACTTAAATAATAACTTATTCTTTGAAATTTTGGAAAAATGTATAATGAATTCATATTTCATATTTAATGGTGTTGTTCTTGGTGATGTTCTCAATATTCCCTCCCGCACGTGGTGGATTGACTAAAATATATGCTTATTTACAAACTCATAACGTACATCCATCCTAATATAAATATTTAATTAATCTATACGCGGAGGTGCTCAGTGTACTGATGTACACCTGAAGATCCCACCCCTACACCTAAAAGGAGGGCCAGTGTGATGTAGTAATTCTTCTAACCTCCTTCCATTCACGCCAATAAATACATTCACCCGATATACACAAATTCCACTAATCCATTAAACCAATTATCCTAGCCTAAGTAGAGGAGTACTCGATATTGCTCGTCAGCCACTTCCATTAATACATAACCACTCATACTAATAAATACATTCATACTAGAAAGACAGAGATGCTATAGACCCTTCCCACACATCATACTACACATATATCGCTATACTAATCTGGTGGGCCTGAGAGTTGCTGCCGCACCCACGCATACTAAACCACTCATGCCAGTAAATACATTCGTACAATTTAAGGGGTATGAACCACTTGTGGGAGTCACATGCGGCTATTCGCATTTATTGATCTTAAATATGCTATAAGCTTATCTTCGTAGTCGCTGTTATGCTTAAGAACTTTTGACATGTCGGATGGCAGGTCGCAGCTCCTTCTGTGTCGCGCTAGTTGTTAGCATTCTTCTAAGATATGTTTCACTGGTACAAACGCTCCACACGGGAAAAATCCTGGGTTTCTTTTTAATTAGGAGGTGGCCGGGTTTTAACCGAGTGTGGCCTATCCTCAGTCGTGTTAAAATGATCCTCTCTTTTCCATTTTTTCCCGGGCCCAGGGTTTAGTTCTTGGTTACACTGCTTTTAACTCTACAATCATACCACCCCAGCGGACTTGCCATTCATTCCANAGGCCACCACCACCACGTCGACTACTACACGGAACCTCATTATTATTTCGAGTACGACGTTAAGGACCCTCACACCGGTGACTTCAAGAGCCACAAGGAACAGAGGAAAGGCGACCACACCGAAGGAGTCTACAGCCTCGTCGAACCCGACGGTTCCAAGAGGGTAGTCGAGTACGTCGTCGAAGGCAAGAAGGGAGGATTTGTACCCAAGGTACACAGAGGACCCGGTAAACTCGTTGACCACAAGCACGGCCATGTAGGATACGTCCACGCCAACTACAACTTCCACCAAGGGCATGTTCAAGAAGTCCAGTACCATTCTGGCGGACACGGCGGACACCAGGGAGGTTTCGGAGGTCAACAGGGTGGATTCGGAGGTGGACACGGAGGATACTAATTCCTAAGGATCCATCGACTACCAAATAATCATAGATTCATCAACAAACTCTCATTGCCAACTCCATCATGTTGATTGTTTTTACTTTTTGAATAAATTGTTTTGTACATTTTTTAAAAGTGTGGTATTTATGTCACCATGTTCTAACAATCATATCAAAGTATGAAACGCTTAAAACATGTAAAATAACGTTAGGGATCACACTAGAGAATACGTTACAGTTCATTTTGCATCCCTTAAAAAATATTTTGACGTTATTATAAATGCAAATGCACCAATATTGAATTAAATTAAATTAATTTTTCTCTCCTTATTGTTTACAATAAATAGCATATATATACAAATGTATGTTATCGTATAAATACGTTCGCTTTTAAATAATTTGATACATTAGATCTTAGTATAAACAGTACAAATAATTTAGATAAATTAGTTTTTAAATAATATTATTAATTAGTAAGTTAATTTTATAAATATTTATGTATATAAAACAGTTCTTGACTGACTGGCAGACAACGCACAGACGAAACCGCTGAATCTAAAGGGATGAAATTTCGACAGGGCATTACTACAATTACATGAATAGCAGCGAAAAAAGGATATTTTGAAATTCTATCCCTACAGAATTGTACGGACAATTTTTTTACCTTATGTGTAGACCGAAGTGATGAGAAGAATTTGATAGTCGAGGCATCATATTAGAAAGCCATACTAGCACCCTGCATCGCATTAGAAAAATCTATTTAAACAGAGTCCTTCGAGGAAAAGTCGCGGGTAAATGCTAGTCTTTATGTACTATTGTGAACGCCCGAAACGCCGATAAAAGTTACTGCCGAACTGCTCCACGGATTGCCCTTCTTGATGGCCTAAAAGAAAGCCCTGACCTCAATTTTAGTGGGAAAATTGTTAAAACTATAAATTATTATTCGTGAGGGCGTGTACGTCTCTCTGCCTTAAAGTTATTGTTACAGTGTTTTTCAGTACTAAAAAACACTAAAACATATAATACGGAATAATACAACAATATTAATTTAGTATTGATAAGCACTGTAACTTTAACTTTAAGCCGGATTGCAAATGATGAGGCGGAAGGAGAACCTTCTGATGAGGACATGGCTGACGACAAGCCAAATGAAGGAAAACCTTCAGTGAAGCACCTCACCAGGATCCAGCATGATCAAATTCTACACGTCTCGGAATAGGTGCATGTCAAATAGCCAGTGGAAGTGGAATATCTAAAAATCGTTAGTACCACGACAGCTACTTAGATTTGAAACGTTGTGGGGAAAAACAGGCTAAGTACACGATTTGTTTTTCCAAATGAAAATTTATCCATATTGCAAAAATATTTTCAATATTTAATTTTTGATTTGATGTGAAAGGTGTTTAAATTTAATAGCTGTATTTTTCATTAAATTTTTAAGAACAGCCTAGTGCTTCAAACATAATGGTAAATCGATTTTTTGCTCTCCTGTAAAATTTAGAAAAATGGAGATGTACTGTTTTTCCCCTGACCCCTTCATTTGAGATTTATAGAGGCTGACACGGTTAAATGGTTCAATGGTTCCAGTTAAATTGGGTCGTCATTTTGATGGTACATACCCAGAAGCAAGTAAATCTCATACCAACCCTTCAAACATCAAAAAGTCTGTGATAACGATATTGTACAAAACAGTAAAACCGATATGTTCGGTCCCATTATCAACATCGCAGGGTTGGCTATTTTATTGGCTTTTGTCCGTTATGAATACTCGGGATGTTTCGGAGAGGATGTTCTCTTGTTCAAACCACTTCCTTCCAATGCAACAAATGCCGAAATATTCCATTTGTTGACGATTTATTTACAACTAACCAAATTCTATGGTCTGTTTACATAGGAGTCTGCATAGATGGTGCAAAAGCAAACGATTGGCTTTTGAAGTCTCATCCCTCTCCAGCTATCAAAAATCCATCATATTCAAATTGTGCAGACTAAAACAATCTAATCATCCCATCAAATGATTAATCATTAATGTTCAAATTACTACATTTGCATTTGCTCGAGATTTGCTTACATATTGATTACTTTCTATCCAATTTGATTTTTGTATTCCGGATTTTGAAAATAAAGTTAAGTATGCCATTTTAATATTGTTCACATAGTGATATCATCCTCCAGCACATAATTAAAAATGGACTGGCTAATTTTTAACACTTTAACTACTATAATTATCGAATTTTAAATACTCGAATGAGAGGGGTCCGCTGGCTAATAGGTTCGGGAAGCCCGGATCTAAATGTATAAAAATCTTACTGTTAAATATAACTGATTTATACGATAACTTGTTAAACTAATGTCTGTTTATTCAGTAAAATATTTATTTGAATTCACTACCATATTTATTATAATTATTAGCATTTGGCATCATTACTAAATAATTACTTAGATTTTTAATAGTACTGTGGCAGTTCTGGTAATGTTAAGGTACACGGTTTTTTCTTATTCGTTTTCTCATAATTATTTAAGAGGAAAGTTTTCACGAGGGATGATGAGACATGGAGATATGCTAAAGAAAACATATATGGCACCAAAAAATACATATGTACGTATGCTTTTTGTTGTAAACAATGATGCGATAAAACATTAATTTAATACAATAATGATGCATTTGTATTTTTAATAACTTTAAAATATTTTTAAGAGATACAGGACGTATTCTCTAGTGTGTTCACTAACGTTATTTTACATGTTTTAAGCGTTTCATACTTCGTATGATTGTTAGAAACAAGGTGACATAAATACCACACTTTTAAAAAAATGTACAAAACAATTTATTCAAATAGTAAAAATAATCAACATGATGGAGTTGGCAATGAGAGTTTGTTGATGAATCTATGATTATTAGGTAGTCGATGGATCCTTAGAAATTAGTATCCTCCGTGTCCACCTCCGAATCCACCTTGACCTCCGAATCCGCCTTGGTGACCTCCGAATCCGCCTTGGTGACCTCCGAATCCACCTTCGTGACCTCCGAAACCTCCCTGGTGTCCGCCGTGTCCGCCAGAATGGTACTGGACTTCTTGAACATGCCCTTGGTGGAAGTTGTAGTTGGCGTGGACGTATCCTACATGGCCGTGCTTGTGGTCAACGAGTTTACCGGGTCCTCTGTGTACCTTGGGTACAAATCCTCCCTTCTTGCCTTCGACGACGTACTCGACTACCCTCTTGGAACCGTCGGGTTCGACGAGGCTGTAGACTCCTTCGGTGTGGTCGCCTTTCCTCTGTTCCTTGTGGCTCTTGAAGTCACCGGTGTGAGGGTCCTTAACGTCGTACTCGAAATAATANAGTGTTGACATTCATACAAATGAGTAATCCTGTAAACGTAAACAGAATATTTTATATAGATTTTTTTTAATGAAAACTTAAAATCCTGCATTATTTTCCGGACAACCCGATAATAATTAATTAAATTGATTTATAATCCTTATGCAAAGTGTGGCTGAGATGAAAAATGAAAAGTTTCCATAAGAAGTACAAATCAATTTCATGTATTACTTTTGTAAAAGTGTGCCAATTAAAATATGTATGGATTAATATAACAGTTCATAATAATGTCATTTTTTAAAAATTGCCAGCCATAAATTTAAGTTAGAAAAAATGCAAATAGGAAATTAATATTTATAAACATATAAAAATTTCTTATGATTCTAGAACCTATTCACCTTGTACATTTTCGCTTGTAATGTTGAACTGAATGTGAAGGGGGCCAACGGGCTTTATATATATCAGACAGTCAAGCTGGTTCTTATCCCCCCACCGGTGTAAAAGGGTTGGCAAATAGACAAATCCGAAAATGTGGCTTGGTGACATTAATTTTGTAAACTAAATATCTACACGTGACCTGAGGTTTTATTTAATTTCATTTCGTAATGGTCATTGATCGAAGCCTGTAGCGTATCCAAAAGATCTTACAATCCATCAAACACACCAACAAACACCATTTATATCTTCAGAACCATTTTCACCATCCACGACCTCGTAATGAAAACTTCACTCCACAGAAATGATCCAAACTCTGAAGATGGCGAAATGCCGAAACGCGTCTGAACCAACAAAAATCACCTCGGATTAGCAGACAAAGATGATACGAACCTATCGAACAGTAGTCTCACGAAGCCTTTTGATGAATGTTTTAGAGCTCAGCCTTACTTTACGGATCCGTCGTTGGCCGAAACATCTGCTCGGGCGAGATCTTCTCGACTTTTTCCTCCGAATTTTTTCCTCAAATTTATTGTTTCATCGCAGTAAACAATAAAGAAAGTTGAGAGCTGAAAGAACTATTCCCTGATTGTACAAATTTTATGAACGATATACACAATTACAACAGCGCAATGACGTTTGTCTCTTTTCTTTGGATTCCGGGTCACGTCGGTGTAAGCAAAAATGAGGAGGCCGACAGAGCGGCATAAGAAGCTACAAAAATACCGAATGCTCCGTATACCCCGATCAGCCAAGCGGACATAAAAATGCAATGGAAATCAAGCTGGAATGAATGGCAAGTCCGCTGGGGTGGTATGATTGTAGAGTTAAAAGCAGTGTAACCAAGAACTAAACCCTGGGCCCGGGAAAAAATGGAAAAGAGAGGATCATTTTAACACGACTGAGGATAGGCCACACTCGGTTAAAACCCGGCCACCTCCTAATTAAAAAGAAACCCAGGATTTTTCCCGTGTGGAGCGTTTGTACCAGTGAAACATATCTTAGAAGAATGCTAACAACTAGCGCGACACAGAAGGAGCTGCGACCTGCCATCCGACATGTCAAAAGTTCTTAAGCATAACAGCGACTACGAAGATAAGCTTATAGCATATTTAAGATCAATAAATGCGAATAGCCGCATGTGACTCCCACAAGTGGTTCATACCCCTTAAATTGTACGAATGTATTTACTGGCATGAGTGGTTTAGTATGCGTGGGTGCGGCAGCAACTCACATCAGCAAGCACATCTTTTTCGGCATTATGGTTAACAAGAAGTGCAATAAATATACTCGACAAAACATAAAAACTTGTCAAAACGAAGTATTACACCTGAGAAGTTTGATATAAACTGATTTTCCGTACTGTCATTGAAGTAGTTGTTCAGGTGATATCGACAAATTAGTGACATTGAATTGAAAATCCTTTTAAACAGTTTTTATGTTTATCAGTACAAAGACTTCACACGGACGAATTTAAACATAATCTAAAGAATATATTACAGAACAGAGTTTATATAACATAATTTTTTTATGTCCTTAAAGTTTGTACCAGGAGGTGTACATTCTTTGGATCTGTCTTTTATTATTCGTCTTGATTGTCCGATGTATTTCATTGTTTGAGATCGGCTGTAAAAATTTAAATATCTGTAAACATTATGGTTGTTTTGTCCTGATGACGACCTAAAATCATTTTACTGATGAAGGGCTGTTCTCTTCACTGAGCGTGCCCGTTTGGTTTATCACAATCAGAACGGGACCGGGCAAAGTAAACCTGGATAACACTGCTTCGTGTGGGAAATGTAATCATAACCTTTTCAAAAACAGTCAGTAATGATATTGGGTAGTATCGACGACGAGTCATGATTATCATGCTAAATGGATTCTTGCTGGAGAAATTCTTCTCGAAGCTGTTGTCCCATTCGCTTCATTTTTTAGGGAGAACTTTGTCTTAAAGCATGATAGTGCTCGACCGCGTGTTGCTCGTGTTGTCATCCATTGCTTGAAAGATGCTTGTGGTCAACGAGTTTACCGGATCCTCTGTGTACCTTGGGTACAAATCTTCCCTTCTTGCCTAATTTGCTAATTTTGAACCAAACAATTCAATACGATAAACAAAGGATTGTTCGATAATGTATTGTAAATATTGTATGTATGTGCATTTTTAATAAAGATAAATTATTTTGTAGAAAATGACTAGAACTCTCAATGTGTCCACTAAAGTCGTTTTGCATGTTTTAAGCGTTAGATACTTAGTTATGATTGTTGGTCACAAGGTGAATAAATACTACACTTTTAAAAAAATGGTACAAAAAATTTATTCAAAAAGTAAAAACAATCAACATGATTGAAATGACAACGTAGGTTTCTTAATGAATTTATGATTATTTGGTAGCCGATGGATATTTAGGAATTAGTATCCTCCGTGTCCACCTCCGAATCCACCTTGACCTCCGAATCCGCCTTGGTGACCTCCGAATCCGCCTTGGTGACCTCCGAATCCACCTTCGTGACCTCCGAAACCTCCCTGGTGTCCGCCGTGTCCGCCAGAATGGTACTGGACTTCTTGAACATGCCCTTGGTGGAAGTTGTAGTTGGCGTGGACGTATCCTACATGGCCGTGCTTGTGATCAACGAGTTTACCGGGTCCTCTGTGTACCTTGGGTACAAATCCTCCCTTCTTGCCTTCGACGACGTACTCGACTACCCTCTTGGAACCGTCGGGTTCGACGAGGCTGTAGACTCCTTCGGTGTGGTCGCCTTTCCTCTGTTCCTTGTGGCTCTTGAAGTCACCGGTGTGAGGGTCCTTAACGTCGTACTCGAAATAATAATGAGGTTCCGTGTAGTAGTCGACGTGGTGGTGGCCTTCTTCGTGCCCGTAGTGTTGGGCACCAACGACGGCGATGACAACAGCAAGAAGGCAAAGCTGTAACAAGCAATATTTATAAACCCATATTTACCTTCTAATCAAATTTACAATACAAAATAATATGATTTCTTATAGTTATTTGAAATTATTGTTTTAGCTGTATAAAGTTTTAGTGCAAAATTTACACATTTACACTATTGCAACATAAAAACAAAGGAATATAATAGCAATTAATTAAATTGATTTATAATGTTAGCAAAGTGTGGTTGAGATGAAAAATGAAAACTTTACATAAAAATACATATCAATTTGAAGAATTAATTTTGTTATATAGTGCCAATTAAAATATATATGGAATAATATGACAATTAATAATACTGTCACTTTTTAAAAATTGCCAGCAACAATTCAAAATCAGAAAAAAAGCAAATAGGAAATTAATATTTCTATAAATATAAAGTTTCCTAAACCCACAAGACCATTCACCTTGTACATTTTCGCTTGTAATGTTGAACTGAATGTGCACTGGGTCCACGGGCTTTATATACCAGGCGGTCACGCTGGTTCTTTTTCCCCCACCGATGTAAAAGGGTTGGCAAATGGACAAATCAGAAAATTGTGGCTTTGTGACATTAAGTTTGTAAAATAAATATATACATTTGAAAGAAGGATTTAAATTGATTTCGTTTCGTAATGGTACTCGATTGAGGCATGTAGCGTCCTTAATAATCAAATTAAAAATTACTTTAAACCCGTTAACAGTTAAAAATGCGCAAAATATGTTTTCTTATTTATGCTACTGTAGTACATTTATATGTACGACTAAATGTATGTTAACACGACTAAATTTCATTTTCTTTCCAAATGTGTTACAATTACCTATTTTACATTAAATTATCTATATTTACTGTATAAAATATGGTAAAAAGCCTTGGAATATTTCATAATATTTATTAGGAAGCCTTAACCTATCTTAAAGATCTCAATTAACTTGTTTTATTATTTCATTACTAACAATGTAAAAATTACCTTTTTTTATTATATATAATGACTAGAACAGAGAATCGTCCTGCATCTTCAAACATTATAATATTAACTTTTTTTATACATAACTTCATTGATAATTTCATTAATACTATCAGATTAAGATACAGTATAGACTAATAAATTACTATGGTATTATCGGTCTATGATCAGTTATCAAAAATTAATTATTAGGGATTATGACCGGTTTTTTATTTTAAACTTTTCAAGCGACTTTAAAATGATGTAGAAATTTTGTTTTTTCTGATAGTTTATGCAATGTATGAAGTTGATAGTTTGTAAAGTATATAGTTGAACGAATCTGTAATGAGTACCTTCAGCAAATTTACAGGCAGTGTTTGTTGTATTTACTATTTAAGTTGTTAAATAAAGATTTTTAGAACAATCTGTAAAAAATATTTTTACTCTTTACTATATAAAAAAATATATCACTTGCTGTCTTTCTTTACCTCCTTCTTTCTATTTCTCCTACTCTGCTTTTTTTAAATACGACGATATTCATTCATTCTCTTTCTCTCATTCTTTCTCTTTCTTTCTTTATCCCATTCTCCCTCTCTCCCTCTTTCTCTTTCTCTTCTCTTCCTTTCTTTATCCTATTCTCCCTCTCTCCCTCTATCTCTTTCTCTTCTCTTTCTTTATCCCATTCTCCCTCTCTCCCTCTTTCTCTTTCTCTTCTCTTGTTTAAACAAAAAATATTCATTCATTCTCTCTCCCTCTCACTCTCTCTCTCTCTCTTTCTCTCTCTCATTTTCCTTCTCTCTCCCTTTCTTTACCTCTCATATCTTTCTTTCTCTCTATTTCAATCTCTCTCTCTTTCTTTTTCTCTTTTTTCATTAAATACAATGATATTCATTCATTCTCTCTCTCTTTCTCTCATCCTCCTTCCCTCTCTCCCTCTCTTTCTTTGTCTCTCCCTCTCTCTTTCTTTCTTTAATTCTGCCTTTATCTCCTTTTACTACTCTTTCTTGCTCTCTCTCACTCTCTCTCTCTCTCTCTCTCTCTCTCTCTCTCTCTCTCTCTCTCTCTCTCTCTTTAATTCAGTATTCAAACTCGTGAACTGTTTTCACTGGATTAAGTCATTATTTCTTTAATTTTAATATGTAATATTTCAGTTTTTCATGTCATAGAAAAAATGTAATCCAATAAAAACTAAGTGTTTTCCTTTGCCTAAAACCTCAAAACATATATTATAAACAAATATGATTTGAAATTCCTGGTTTTGAAATGAACACCGTTCTTATGTTATACAATAAACAGCATGTTACAATAGCTCCCTTTCAATACACGTGTTAGAAAGTTGAGTTTGTTAAACAGCTCGTGCCCTCCAGATTAAAATAACAAATAAACGATTGCTTTGTAATGTATTAAATTGTTGTATTATTAATTAAATAACAACCGTTTTGTACTGTAGGAATTAAAGTATTTAGGAAATGATCGCGTTATGTAAGTATATTTCAAACTGTACAAAATTAACAGGTTATGTTTCTAATAATTCCTTTTTAGATAGATAGTTGAAAGCTTTTATTTTCATAAAATCAATAATTATAATATAAAAATGTATCGTCTATATAAATAAAACAAAAGGAACATACATAAATGTATATTTTAATTTTTTTTAACCATTAAGGATAATGTCTAATCGCTGCTCTTTCTTTCTTTCTGCATTTTCTTTCTTGTTCAGTTTCACTATTCAAAAGCACCATTTTCGAAATTCTCCAAGCACTAGACATACTGTACTGCGGATTAATCAGACCAATCTTCGAAGGCTGATTTTTAGAGCAACTCCTCTGTTCGCTTTCGGTATAAGTTATTTACTGCACGAGTCGAACGACAGGCTATGACATTCGATCGTGTAGTGAGATAGGGATATATTTTAACGCCCTTGCTTTTTAACATATATTCGGAGCTATATTTAAAGAAGCCCTCAACGATTTCCGTACAAAGGGCGTCTTTATCAATGAGATATACCTGAAAAGCACATGGTATGCGGACGAATCAGTAATGTATAATTACCAGCAATGTATGGTGAAGTCTATAGTCCAGCACTATGTCCTAATGCTGAACGTACCCAAAATCAAGGTGATTGCGTCGTCTGAACAGAAATTGAGATAAATCTATTTGTGAATTGATGCGAGTGGAAAAAGTGATGGCATATACCTTGGTTGAACAGTGTCCTAAACAGGAGATAAATCCGAATTTAGATTTCTGGAGATACATTGTTTCAAATGAAAAGCATTTTTATTCATTCTACGCTCATTTTAAAGTTGGGAATGAGAATGATAAGCTGCTACTTCTCAGTACCGTTATCGATGCGAAAGCTGCACCGCTTGACTCAAGTACCCAGAAAAGCACGAGGCCTCAGAGTTTAAGATTTTTATTCTCTGTGATGTTTTCTTCTCAAGATAACTTTTACCTAAAGTTACCCAAGAAGTTCGCCATTTAGGAACATATTTCAGTTTTAGCCTAATTTTTCCTCATACGTGGTCTGATATATTTTCTCTTGTTATAAAATAGTTGAAACTTCTCCACAGTTTTATGACTTAAAAAGCTGCAGAGCTTTGCGGTATACCCCGGGATTCTTTTTATTTCATTATTAAAAACTTTCATATTTTTATTTTGAAAATTAGTCTTTTTTATTAAGTATTTATTCCAGATACGGTTAGTGGCCAAGTTGGTTTGAGTTATTTTTCCTTACTATTACCTACAGACATAAAGCACTTTGGCTCTTAGAAACCCATTTCTCCTTCCTCAATTTTGCTCGATTTTTCCTGTACACCATAATCTGAGTTTTATTAGATCTTCAGTTTTTACTACTCGCAATAAACGTTAAGGTTGAAAGTTATGGTTGAAGCAAGCAGGAACTGTTAGGTTTTGATATTACACCTCAAGTATTGACTTGAAAGTTGAAAACTTTCGGATTTTTTTAAAACCAATTGTTAACAGCGTGTAATTGTTTTTATGATTGAGTCGTTGACGCTTGAATATGAAGCTGTGCGCTTGACCTACGATGGGGCGACCCTTCCTTAGTTGATGTACGGACCTTGAATAAAGACTATGCTAATAAGCCTTAATAAATGTACAAATGTTTGAAAAGGTCCAAAAAAAGATAAAATGTACTCTATGAACTAACAAGTGATCGCAAACATCCTATTGGGAAAAATAGGACAAATTGGTGATTTATTTCTGACCAAGATAAAAACGATGGTGGTTATGAACTCGACCAAGACGGGATAATAATTGATTAATTAAATTATAATTTATCTCCAAATCTTTCTCGGCTGTTTTGGTGAATTTTCAAACAATCATAGCTAAAACGTATTCATTTTGAACCAACTAATTCAATATTGATAAATGAAGATTGGTTCGTTAAATTTAGTATGGTAGTAGTTAAATTTTGAGTGTTTCTGTACATGCTGTACGCTTGTAATATTGTATGCACTTGGATTTTTAGAGGGTTGAAATAATTTTTAATAAATGCGAATAAAACTCTCCAGTGTGTTTACTAACGTTGAGTTAAAAATTTTAAGCGATAGGTCGAGATAAATGTTAGAAACAAGGTGACATAAATACCACACTTTTAAAAAAATGTACAAAATAATTTATTAGAAAAGTAAAAAACAATCAACAGGATGGAGTTGGCAATGAGGGTTTGTTGATGAATCTATAATTATTTGGTAGTCGATGGATCTTTAGGAACTAGTATCCTCCGTGGCCACCTCCGAATCCACCGTGGTGACCTCCGAATCCGCCTTGTTGACCTCCGAATCCACCGTGGTGACCTCCGAATCCGCCTTGTTGACCTCCGAATCACCTCCCTGGTGTCCGCCGTGTCCGCCAGAATGGTACTGGACTTCTTGAACATGCCCTTGGTGGAAGTTGTAGTTGGCGTGGACGTATCCTACATGGCCGTGCTTGTGGTCAACGAGTTTACCGGGTCCTCTGTGTACCTTGGGTACAAATCCTCCCTTCTTGCCTTCGACGACGTACTCGACTACCCTCTTGGAACCGTCGGGTTCGACGAGGCTGTAGACTCCTTCGGTGTGGTCGCCTTTCCTCTGTTCCTTGTGGCTCTTGAAGTCACCGGTGTGAGGGTCCTTAACGTCGTACTCGAAATAATAATGAGGTTCCGTGTAGTAGTCGACGTGGTGGTGGTGGCCTTCTTCGTGCCCGTAGTGTTGGGCACCAACGGCGGCGATGACAACAGCAAGAAAGCAAAGCTGTAACAATTTTATAACCTTAAATTTACCTTCTAATCAAATTCACAATTCAAAATAATATGATATATTCATTTTTTTAATTAAAAAAAATTATCAAATTTAAACTCATATCCATAATTTAAACTATTGTGTTAGCTATATAAATTCTCAGTCAAAATGCTTCACAGATTTAAACAACTGTAACTTGAAAAACAAAGAAGTATAATAGCAATTAATTAAATCGATTTATAATTTTTATGTGGCTAAGATGAAAAATCAAACCTTTACCTAAAAATTATAAATCAATTTAAACAATCGCTAAAATCCATACGGATTAATATAATAGATAATTATTAACAACTTATTTTTTAATAGCTGCTTATAAGTAGTTGAAAATAGAAAAAAAGGAAATAAATATATATGTAATATTTTCGAAAAAGACCATTCACCTTGTACATTTTCGCTTGTTATGTCGAACTGAATGTGAAGGGGGCCGACGGGCTTTATATGTGTATCAGTTGGTCACGCAGGTTCTTTTTCCCCCACCGGTGTTGAATGGTTGGCAAATGGACAAATCTGAAAATGGTGGCTTTGTGACATTAATTTTGTAACATAAGTACCTACCTAGAAGCTAAGGTTTTATATTTAATTCGTTTCGTAATGATCCTCAATTAACGCCGTAGCGTAGCAATGAACGACTTAATAAATAAATAAATTAAAAATTATTTCAAACTCGTTAACAGCTGAAAATGAGCAAAATATTTTTTTGCAGTGTGTAAGCTGGTTGTGAACTAGGTTGTTTACGAAAAATGGAGCTATCCAGCAAAATGCTATACTATCGACCAAGCCACGCAATTGCAAGTATTTCATATTCATATAGCGAAGTGGACTGCGTCATTATAATAAAATTGCGCTAAAAAAAGCTAATAATTTATTAGAAAAACCTGCTCTAACCATCAGGCTGAGCAGCAGGCGGTTATTGGAGTGGACAATGAGGTTGTAATTTGAAAAAAACAATGTAATGTCATGAGCGATAGCTCACAATTTACGCACTTGCATACCTTAACAATCAGGGAAAGCTAAATGTGCGAGAAAGGGCGAGCTAACTCAATTGAGGGTAATCCCTCACTCTCCGAAACTCTAAATTTCTCTAGAATCCGCTAAATATCAATTTTTCCAGATTGCAGTCCATCAACATCTCACATGTAATGAAAAAAATGGAAAATTCAATCCTTATAATTCCTTAACACTTACCAGCCCACAACACTTGTAAGTCAATTACAATTCAATTATTGTATATATATTACAATAAATGACAATAAGGCGATGTTTGAAATTAATTATAATTGTACAAGAATCGAAGGAATTAAATTTAGATTTTATACAAACGAAATAAATCAAATATAAAATAAGTTTACAGTTTTAATAAAACCAAAGAGAGAGAGAGAGAGAGAGAAAAAAAAAACATAAATTGTCTAAAGCGAAAAAACTCACGGGAGAAGTCAGCGAGAGGAGTGGCGAGTCACCAACAAATGCGGAGAAATCGACAAGCACAAAAAACGGTCGCGAATAAATTGCGGATCTAACTCGTACACAGTCTTTTAAGCTTGCGGCTTGCGGGACTGCCTCGAACACGTGCGGGAGCGAAGAAGAGTCTCTGGACCTCGTCGTCAAGCGCGTCTCCAACAACAAAACCCGTCACTTCACGGCCTTTTAGGTGCGCGACGTATAGATCACAAAAATTCACACTTAACAACAATAATTACATGTAACTTATACTAATTATTTTTAAAACAAAAAATATACAATATATAGAAAATATAGTATGCTTGAACATACCGCCCACCAATTTTTGACCCACAAAAATTCTAGGCTGATAAGCATTGCCTTTTAATGGGGTATGGCGGGAGTAAAGGTGCGAGGGCAGAGGTGGGTTAGTTAGACGACCGAACACCCTAAGAACTCCCTTTGAATCGATAAATGAAACGAGTGTTTTCAAATCGGTGTGAGTTTTTGTTAGTGTTTTTTTTTTTTTTTTTTTTTTTTTTTTTTTTTTTTTTTTTTTTTTTTTTTTTTTTTTTTTTTTTTTTTCCTTTTGTCTTCAGCCATAAAGACAGGTGGATGCGTCACGTTGTTCTGAGTTTATTATAACGTTTATTATAAGTTTATTATAATAACGTCACGTTATTCTGCAGTTCTGAGTGAAACGTAAGATATATGCTATGATTCTGATCAATTTGCTGTATGAGGATGATCTATCTATCAATTCAATGAATGGTGAAGGGTACTTATCTAAACTAAGCAAAACAATTTCTGGTTTTGTCTCAGGTAAATCCTCTCCAACCACAACGTCCAACGATGAAAGTTGTAGACATCGAGGTATTTGAATGCTTTTAAGCTAAGATAAATCTTCATGAAAACCTATCCAAACACGACGGGTTACTTCTGAGTCCCAATCGCACTTTATTTTCCACAATTCCTGTAGGATGGTTTTTGCCCGGAAAATGACAGGCGCACGATATCCGAGAGGATCATATAAACGCGTAATAGTGGAAATGATCCCTCGTTTTATGGCAACTATCTCTTTCGTTTGGTATCTATATGATAGGCTATCTTTTGTCGAGTGCCATTCCAAACCTAAAACTTTAACCGTCGAACCTTCCATAATGGAAAGTTATCCATCTAGAACATGATAGATCTAGAAGGAATCTTATAAAACCAGGGTCTATGTGGGTCCACCAATGTGTGCTCTGGAAATTAGGAGGTAGACGATGCTTCTGTTGAGGTCGACTTGAAAATCAGCAAAATACCTACATCTTATGCCAAGGAAATAAAGTATACCAAGATGATAAAAGAACAGCGAACCAAAAGAAAACGAATGAATGATAAACATCTTCCCACAGCGCAATAATTTTCAATTACATCAAATTTGACAGTCCTGTCATGGCTCGGGTCTTGAAAGAAGATTAATATCACTCCTTTTTGCACCTGTGGTGGTGTCACTTATCAGCATATTTTTCAAATATTAAGTTTTCCCTGCATTGGATTCGTATAGATTAAAAACGTTATCCTCACAGTTAGCCTGGCCTACACCTGTGAGAGACCTGCTCAAGAAGGACATCGTCAAAAACTTCACTTTATTAAAACTAATGAGTTTAATGTGTGGTGTTTAATGAACGTTAGTCAATGATTATTCGGAGATCGTGAGATGCGGTCTGGTGTGACGTAGGCTTTAGAAAAACATTTTCTTTATAGTGCGAACGTTTTGACCTTTATTGAGATCATCTTCAGGGCCTGTGATTTATAAGCATTGTTTAAATTTTATAAATACACACTTTTTACATCCTACATGTATTTGTAAAATTTAAACAATGTTTATAAGTCACAGGCCCTGAAGATGATCTCATTAAAGATGGGAACGTTGCCACGATAAATAAAATGTTTTTCTAACTTCCTACGTAACACCAGTAGTAGCGAATAATGTTAAAACCTTGCTTTATTCCTTTTCTCCTTATTACTATTTCTTCATTATTATTTTTCTCTTAACAACGAACTCAATAACAACTAAATAAAAAGCATTAAAAAAAAAAAAAAAAAAAAAAAAAAAAAAACAGGTATAATTCATTCACATCATCATTGACTGCATTAATGTTAATTTAATGTGTGTGATTATTATACGGTCATATTCAAATACTTGTGCATTAATTAATGGGTGTTGTTAAGGTTTCCATTTTAATCCTTATTCAACTCTGATGTAAACAATGCATATCCATTTATGTATCGTTGTTTACTTTGGCTAATCCTTTATTTAATAAATCTCGCCGAAAATGCCGGAAGACAAAATTGTCACTCGTAGTCTACTGAAGCACTACTGGAAAAAAGGACTAAGTGCGAAAGCAGCCGAGGAAATTTGTGCAGTGGAAGGTGAAAATGTTGTGCATCGTAACACCGCAGGTTTTTTGGTCCAGGTGGTTCCATTCTGGGAACAACAGCCTTCAAGATGAGATCTGGTCGTGCTTCAGTGGTGGATGATGCTGAATTACTCGAGTCAGTCAATAAATATCTGCATGCAATCATTCGAGGATTATCGTCCCAAGCAGGTTTCAAATGTAACGGTAAGCCACCATTTAAAAAAAGCTTAATCACCGAAATAGAAGAGTCTGATCCTCATGACTTGTCAGCTGCCCAAGATCAACAACGAATTAATATCACGTTTGCTTGAAAATTCAAAAGATAATATATTTTGAAAGAGATTGTAACGAGCGATACAAAATGGGTATTTTTTTAAAATCTTATCCACCAAAACCAATGGGTTCCGCAAGTTCAAGAGGTTCAAGAAGAGGTTCGCCATTGGGAAAAAAAGATCATGCTTTGTCTTTGGTGGAATAATGAGGGTGTTTTGCACTTTGAGCTGGTACTAGATGACAGTGCTATTGACGCAGAGCTTTACTGTGAAAAACTTGAAAGAGTATATGTGGTTTTAAAAGAGAAGTACCATGTTTTGCTCAATCGGATAAAGCGAATTTCAGCAAGACTACGATCCTGCCCTTTCACCAAAGAAAACTTTTCAGAAATAAAGGATATTAGAATCTTGCCTCACCCTCCTTACAACCCTGACATCGCACTGTCTGAATATGGTCTTTTTCAGTCAACGGCGCATTTTTTGAATGGCCGGAACGTCGAAAACTATGAGGATGTCAAATTTTGATGTAAGGAGTTCTTCGCCTCGTAAACCACCGACAGGTATCACCACCAAATTCAACTTCTGGCAGAAAGATGGGTTAAAGTAGTTGATAATGATGACCTATTTTTTGAGAAAAAATTTCATGTTTGCATTTTATACTATAGTTTAAATCAAACTTAATTTTAACTTAACTTTAACTTTCTTAACAAGGATTTTTGTAATTATCTATGTATTACATGTTAGGAACATGTAGAATAGACTCCTCGATTCCGGAGTGCACTGAGTCGAGGGAGAAAAAACAACAAACTAGTTATATTAATACTATCCAACGGACTATCTATTGGCTAATATAAATTATTTTTTAATTTCTGCAGTATAAACCTGTACGCTGGAGCCTTTTTAAATTGTTACATAATTATTATTTCTTTCATAAAAGTCTGAATAGTGGGCGTAATTCGGATTGCACAAGGTTTTATAGGGCTCAATTTCAGTGGCCAATTCATATTTTTATATAATTATGTAAGTAAGAAATATTTACGAAAAATATGTTTTCGGTGAAAAAATAAGTAGAAATTTCATTAACAGGTGTGATAACGTTCACGTGGCCGAATTGCAGCATTTCCACATAATGAAAGGAACGAGGCTTTGGCTACGGTTTCGAACCAAATCACCGTTTTAATACCAATCCGATTTTATATCAGTCGATAATTAACATTTGCGACATATTTCTAAAATTTGATCCGAGCCGTTTGAGATAAACTTAGAGGAAAATGTGTCATTGCTCACGAATTTCGGCTGTAAGTTGCCTCATTCTATCTCGTAATTGGTTAAAGAATATTAACCAAATGCTTAGTTCTGCAAGAGGTTAATCTAGAAAACCCGGTTAACAAACATGTCATTTTCATTTTATTACAGTGGCTATCGACAGCATGGTAATTTCAGCCTAGCAGTTAACCAACGCACTCATTTTAATAATTTTTTCTCATTGAAGTATTTGATATTTTTCCTTCACCCTTTATACAAACACAAACACATACCAATCTAATTGAAAGCCAATTGTGCAATTAATATTAATCAATTTATATATATACTATTATATGTATAGTGGTCCAATTGACCCAATTACTTATTTCAATTAATTATCCTTTTTATGAAAAATGAATGATAAATGGCAAAAAGGAAGGAAAATTCGCAAGGTTGTAGGTTGAGATGGGGAGTCCGAGTGGATCGAAGACACGATAGCTCAAGTAGTTAGAGCAACGGCGTATTGATCCGAAGGTCGTGGGTTCGAATCCCGCTCGTGATAATAACTTTTTCTTGGCAACCAAGACCTTACATAAAAAGAATAATTAATTGAAATGTGTAATTAATATGCCACAAAGTACATTTGTACAACACATTCATGCTTATTAATACATTCCCACGAAACAGTTAACCCTAATACATCTAAAAAGAATAATAACTTTAGCAACAATAAAATGATTGTTTTCATAAATGGGGGGACAGAAAGATTCTAGAGGTATTCACGATGTTTGTATGATGTTTACTCGTGTTAACTCGAATAGAGAAATGTCCAGTAAGATCGTGAACGCCCCATTCTTTTTTAGCATGTTTAAACATTAATGTTACCATGTTTAAACGTTAATTTTTCCGGAAAGCTGCGCGTTGCGATTGTTAGAACCAAAAATAATGTTATCACTGTCCTTGAAGGCTTGTTGTTGTTTGTTTTGGTTTTCTTTTGTGTTAAATTGTAAGATGCTAGAAGTTAATAAAATAAGAAAATTAATCAACTCTTTCATTCAAAATGCTATCTATGCACTCGAAAAGTACTAACAAATGCCATAACTAACTGGATCCTAACCTCTAACCGCCTACAACTTTATAGGATATGGGATGTATCTATAATGAATGAGACTTTAAGGACAGGTCAGAATTTAACAAAAGAAATGTATTGGTCTGATTTAATTAATATGTATTTAAGAATAAAAATACGTGTAAACAAAAAAATAGCTGTTAAATTCATGGCTGCCATGTTGGTTACCGACGCCCTAACGGATAGCAATGTGACTACATTTTCGAGCTAACATTCTTTACATGTAACCAAGTTCAATTAAACATGACGTATCGAGCAATCTTTATTTAATTTTTGGATATATACGCGATCATTCTAACAAAAAAGTGTCCGTGTGTTAGTCATGTATGGCATATTCTGAGTCGGGATTACCTTTTATTTACATATTCTTTGTCATATCGTAGTCTGCTTCCAGCCGGTCCAGATCCCAGTCATCTACTACAGTTTTTCCGATACGAGCAAAATTTATCTTCCGAACGAACAGGACGTGTGGATGAATCGAAAATCACCTTTCATCATCAGGAAGTCGGTCCCTAGAGAACAACACTCCAAGGGCGTGCCAGATCGCACACAACTTGGCCGTGTACCCAAATTTGATATAGTTGTACTTGTTCTTTTCTCTATAAGTTCTACTTTCTCTGTTACCATATTTTTATTCATTTAGCTTTTAAGGTCTTTTGAATATATAACTTACCAAGTTGTGACAGTGAGTTGTGATAACAGTTATGTTTGTTTTATACGTTACATAAAAATCGCTTCATAATTGATTATATTTTTCTTATTCTTTTTCAGAGTCCGGTTTTTGATAGGAGGTGGATATATATATATATATATACAGACATGTTATAAAACCACTTTACGCAATACAAGTAAAATATAATTCACACCTTATTTTAGTACATATGTGCAATAACTACCATTTCTCTTATTTTCCTTCTTGTTTAATTTTTTTTAATAAAAAACTGCATTTTTGATCATCTTGAAGATCATCTTTTTGATCAATAATATATTAAAAATTAAATAACTATTTCCTAATGATTGTGTCACATAATCACATTTATATTCCAAGCTACTTTATCGACGACAACTGTTTAATTAAAAATTACACTAGCAGGCAAAAAATTCCACCCAATTGATTTTGCACATAATTTGTCTCATTGTTTTTACCAATAAATATTTGTTTATGCTTTGTTTTAATTTTGGAATATCAATTAGAGGTAAACACACTTAATCCTTAATCCGGAACAAGGATAAAGGAATTTTCAATATTTAGTTTTTACGGAATGTTTAGTTAGTCTCATTTGAATTCTGAATCAATAAACTGTTTAGTTTTCATGATTGTTTTCTTAATTTCAATTTTTAAAGTTAAAAATGCCACGTAGTGATGAGGATGTTTTGCGTGGTGTGGCACTTATTAAATATGCGGATATTGCCATCGGAGTTCCCTAAGAAACTCTGCGAGACGCCGTTAGATGTTTTCAAGGGTCCTACCAAAGAAGGCCCGGTTCTGGAGGCCCTAGGGTAACAGAACCAGAGGATGACCGTTTTTTGACTCTGAGAATTTTGCGAAACCGGCACCTTACTGTTGTTCAAGCCATTCATCAGCTCCAGGAAGCTCGAAGTCCAAATTTCTGAATGCACTGCTCAAAGAAGTTTAAATCAGTATGGAATGGTGGCTATTTGCCCGTTAGAGGACCAAAATTGACCGTAACACAAAGAGTTGCAAGGCTAGCATTTTCTCGAGAACACAACCATTCGACCGTGGCGCTTCCATAGATTTGACTTTGTATCTCCGGAATCTGTTGGCACTCTCAAAACCTACATTTTGACCGTAAATATGTAAGGGTGGAAGATCGAGTGAGGTTTCCATTGCTGTAGTTGGGCAGGTACAAGCTAGTAGACTTTGTAGTTTGGGCTGTGTCCCGCGATCCATATTATTGGCCACCATCCTAGAGCCCCATATGTGACCAATGGTATGACCGTGGTGTAATCATTACGGAGTGTGTTTTCTCCATTTGAAGCTTTGGTCAAGAGTTAAACCTTGGTAATTCCTTTCTGCGGAGAAAGTTAAGTCTTCATCCTTTATAGTGGGAGCTTTTAGATTGAGCCTCCTTCTCTTTGTAAAAAGCATGATATTGGGTTGTCCGGAAAATAATGCAGGATTTTGGTATTAAACAAAAAAAAAGAAACTAGTTACTTTAAAGCAATGTTCTTTAATCAAAATAATTTCCCNAATGAGTAATCCTGTAAACGTAAACAGAATATTTTATATAGATTTTTTTTAATGAAAACTTAAAATCCTGCATTATTTTCCGGACAACCCAATATATGTTTTCTTATAGCTTATTTTTAAACGTTTTTCCCACCCCATCTTCCTACAATTTTACTACAGTTTTCCGTCTGATTTGACAAAATTTCGCCTAATTTCCCTTTTATGATTGTTACCAGGTCAGCTTAACCTACGGTATATCATAAGCTGTTAAGATCTTTTATTAGATCATCGACTACTAGTAACAAAAGAAGTGGTGATAGTATTTCTCCTTGCTGGCATCAGATCCTAGTTGCATAATTACTTGACATAATTATTGATTTTTTCTAATGTTAATGTCTTTTTGATTTTTGGTAGTTTACAGGTGAGAACTAGTTATTGATTCAATTTCGTAAGCATATGTTCTAGAATTAAGAAAACTAGTTTAGTCTATTTGTAAATTAGTCTAAATTTATTGTGACACGGTGATTGTACTCAACTATGTGGAAAGTTCGGAGCTGGGATTGTTATTTTGGTACCGACGACGAGCTTGTTGAAGTATCCACGCTGGGTTTTATTTTTTCAAAGTCTTCTTCGCCGGAGACCCAAAGGCCAGCGTCGACGCAGCGTTTCATATGATAGGCGACTTCATCTTGGGGCATATCGGCAATAGCTTTTTGCAACATGGCGACGTCTTGTTTCAAAAAGCAAGTTTTCATGTTTTGAGGTAGATTATCAAACACTTCGACTGGGTCGAGGCCCCCAGGGCCCAGTCTGGCCTGACGATCCTCCTCTTCTTGCTCCTTGGCTGCGATTTCGAGTTTTTCCCTCGCGCTCTCCTTGACTCGCTCGATGAAAGATCTCAGTTCGTCCTCGAAGTTCGACTTGTAACAGCCGTCGCAGATTTTGATCTTAGAGAAAAACGTCGTCACGCAGTTTCTCGGATCGGCGTCGAGCCTTTTGGCCAACTCAAGAATGTACTGCATGCAGATGCACTGATGGGCAACGAGCTTGGACAACTTTGCCTTTTCCTGCAGTTCGAGATTTACACACCATATGACTAGATAATTCGCAGTATCTTCACAGACTAAGTGAGGATGATCTTCCAAAAACTGTTGACTTTCGTCGTAACTCCTGAGCGTGCCGTACTGCTGCAATGTCTTTTCGTTCTTTTTAATAAAATCCTGCAAACGCTTTTCTCTTTCTTCTTCTGTCAGAGTTGGCGGTTTAGTAGGAGAATTCCTCTTTATCAAGGTCTTTGTGTAACCCGGCTGGCTGATTGTATCTATGTTCCAAGGTGTAAGCCTTTCTTTATTTTTCAGCCGTTCTTCTATTTGGTCGAACGTTTCCGCAGTTTTCTCCAACTCTTCGAGTAAAGATCTTTCGACGGAAGTGTCCCCTTCACCGGAACCATCGGTCAATTTCATTTTCAACTCTTTGATTTTGTTTTGATTGTCCGTTTTGGCTTTGGCTAAATCGTCCTTTTCCTTTTGGGCCTCTTCCATCCGCCGGATCCTGGCCTGGTGTTTATAATCGAAAAGGGCTGAAGATTCGATGCTGGGGTGCGTTTCATCTTCATCGTCGGATATCTCGATTTTTCTCCACTTGCTGTAGTCGACCATGTTCGTTTTACTGGCAATTTTGACACCGGTATGAAGAAATGATAAGAAAAACACGATTTTATAATAATGGGAGTTCTACAATAAATTTAAAAGTGTTACATTTAAATTTTTTCACAGATGTTAGATTACATGTGATTGATGCTTTATTATTCTCTTCTAAGCAACAAATCCTTGCGAATTAAGTTGTAATAAAATAGGTTTAGGTCATAACTTTGTTTTTTCCACAACTTAGATAACGAATTGTATTGAATTATCTTTTCACATTCATATATTTATTTTTATGTACATATATTTCATGGATTTTATTATTTTTTAAGCAAATTGATCAGCCAGATTTTTAGTTCAAAAGAAGTAAAACATCGTTTGAGGTCGTGAAATACTGATTTTGGCATTTACCTTTTTTTTAAATCCATCTAACGTATTTTTTTCTTTTAGAGTCTTTTGTGAGGATTTTGAATATAACCAGTTCATGCTACGAATCGAGAGCATAACATTATAAAATGCTGTTAAAAGAATCTAGAATGTGATAGTGTCGATTGTGCTAATACTTCAAAATAGCCCACTTTTGTTACAAAAATTCTCAACTGAAACACATCCAACATGAGCACACTTTGAATTTAATTGAAAGAAGTTTGGGATAAGAAAAACATAAATTTGAAAAGGATCTTGAATTGAGTTTTAATTTTAAACCTAGAGCCAACTGCACTAACACATCTCAAGACTCACTACAATGAGTTTAATAAAAGTTCTGTTTTTATATAACTTATTTTTATGTGCTTTGGCTTTGCATTCCTGGGAGGGTAACATTTTCGAAATGGCCCATCATTAATCCACGGTATGTGTTGCACAAGGTACCGCACGTCCACCACAACCAGTGTGCCTCAGTCTTCGGCGAAGACAATTGGCCAATTCGAACGGGAACAATGAAAAACTGCGGCCAATTAGCGGTTTTAAATTACATTTTGTAACGTATTTCCCGCATCCTCATAGGTAGAAAATATTCGCAAGTGCTTATTTTTTAACTTTACAATTTCACGGCGCGGGCGGTTTGATCGTAATGGTATGACGTAGTGCTAACAAGAAAATCGGAAGGACGATTAATCGGAATACTTTCAACCGCAGATCAATGGAAATTGTTTAATTTAAAGTTAAAAGCATAATAATAGCCTATCATCTCTTTGAAAACTATTAAAAAATAGAGTTGTAGAGTTAGCTTATGCTTTGGAAAGGGTTTCAACTCACATAGCAAGTGTTTATTGCGACTTGGGGGGGGGGAATAGTTTTATTTGTAAAACCTACCCTTCTTGGAAAGGGTTCAAATACCAAATATCACTGTGAAGAACACTCACGGCAATGTTGCCAACCAATTAAAGAAGTACAGTAATTAATTACCTTGGGATATTCATAGACAATCACATGAAATGGAATGAACAGACAGAATATTTAAGTGTTAAACTAAGAAAATGCATTTGTATTATTAACCAAATAAAATGATTTCCCCATTAAAACTATAAAATTAATATATATAACCCTTTTCCAATCAATAATGCTATTTCGAATTACAGCTCGGGGTGGTTACATATAGATACATTGTTGAGCCATTTTATATCCTGCAAAAAAGAAGCCTGAAAATGTTATAGAAAAAAATTTCAGATTTACGTCTAAATTATTAGTTGAAGAAATAGGAGTTTATAGCATATATCGAATCTCTGTGAAAAATTTATTTATATTATTTTACAATGAAAAAAATAAATCACTTCAAAACAAATGTGTTACAAGAAGAATTTTCTATTGAATGAAATTACTTATGATAAGAAAATAAATATTAGTCAAAATTCACCAGATTACAGAGCAATAATATTGTTAAATAAAATATTCCCCAACCTATAGTTACCCAGGACCAGCAGTTTGTAAAAGATATTCACGCTTTTGCAAAACAAATGAAACATTCACCATTTTATAAATTAAATTTACAGTTTTACCAACAAAATTCACCTTTTTGAAAATCAGATTCGTCTTGTTGCAAATGAAATTCGTTCTTTTGCAAATTAAATTCACTCCTTTGAAAATCAAACTCACCCTTTTACAAATCGAATTCCATTTACTGTTTTACCAACAAAATCCCCCCCCCCAATAAAATGAACCCTTTTGTAAAATAATTCAACCTTTTACAAATGAAATTCACCGTTTTGCAAATTAAATTTACTGCTTTACCAACAAAATAAACTCTTTCGGAAATTAGATTCATCTTTTGCAAATTAAATTCACTCTTTTAAAAATCAAATTCACCGTTCCGCAAATCGAACTCAGCCTTGTGCAAATCGAATTAACGGTTTTGTACATTTAATTTAACATTTTGCAAAACTAATTTATTTTTTGGCAAATCGAATTAACTCTTTCGCAAATCATATTCAACCTTTCTTAACTAAATTCACTATTTTGAAACTCAAATTCACCCTTTTGCAAATTAAATTCACCCTTTTGGAAATTAATTTCACTCTTTTGTACATTAAACTCAAAATTTTGCAAATTAGATGCACCTTTTCACAAATCGAATGCTAATACTTTGTAAATTGTATTTACCCTTTTAACAATGAAATTCAGCTAGTTACAAATCTAATTCTCCCTATTGCAAGTTAAATTCACTGTTTTTTCAAAAAAAAATCCATCCTTTTGGAAATTAAATACGTCCCGTTGCAAATTAAATTCACTTTTCGCAAATCAAATTTCCCCTTTTGTAAATTAAATGCACTCTTTTGAAAATAAAATTCAATCTTTTGCAAATTAAATTCACTTTTTCGCAAATCAAATTCCTCCTTGTGTAAATTAAATGCACTCTTTTGAAAATCAAATTTATCTTTTGCAAATCGAATTATTTGTTGTAAATTAAATTCACTCTTTTAAAAATCAACTTCACGCTTTTACAAATCTAATTCACTTAAATTGCAAATTAAATTGACTGTTTTATCAATAAAATGCACCTTTTTGGAAATCAGATTCGTCCCGTTGCAAATTGAAATCACACTTGAAGTTATGCTTTATTTCATTCAAATAGTCCTGTTTGTCTGAAGTCTTAAATTCGAAAAATTTAGGCCATTGTTCTCCCTATAGTTTTATTTTTCCTCCCGCTTTCTCATATATATTTAATATAGAAATCATTATAATTAAATTTGTAAACCTTCCTTTTTAACAAAATATCAACGTTGCCTTTAGGTTTTGAGAAGTTGTTCTGAGTGAGCTCGCTCCTCCAAAAATTACTCTAAAACCTACTTGTTTAAAAATTTCACCTAGTTTTTCTGATAGATCACCAATGTATGGTACGGGACGAAATTTCAAAAACGACTACCCAACCCGCCTAAATTATTTCTATAAAATAAGTAATCGAAAATAGTATCATAGTTTTATGTAAAATTAAACTAATAATCTTGCGATTCCAGGCGAACAATAAATATTTTATAACTTGTAAACCATAAATAAATAACAACTTTATAATTGACGTACATTTTGTTTGTCAACGATTGTTGCATATTTTTGACTTTTTGAAAACAATTCTACTTTCATAAACTAAATAGAAAAGTATGGGGAGGTATTTGAAATCAAAGACTTGTATGCTTTCAATAATAATCTGTGTACAATTTACAGATTTAACAACCTGTACAGTTTTAAAAATCTAGCTATTCTTGATTATCATAAAAATGGGGTTGACATGTTTCATACACTCTACGGTTTCTTAAGAATCGTTTTTCATCTTAAAACTAAAACTATCTATTTGCTAATAATAATTATCTATCACTTGCTGGGAGAGAGAGAGAGAGTGAGAGAGAGTAGATAGATAGATGGAGGAATAAGGTTATTAATCTTCCGCACAGTTTCGTTCTGTAGATCTTTTTAACAAGCATCTAATATGCAAAGTTCTTCATCACCTTATCCTTGGTTTATTAACAAAAATAATTTCAAAAAGTTGTATTTCTATTTCTAAATTGAAGTACTGAATATTGAATATACAAACCGAGTATACATGGTAAATTATCGAATTGGTTCCATGCCCGTTGTGACATAAAAAGCAAACCCACACAACAAAAAAACAAAAACAAAAATATTTATTTTTGTGTGGAACAATCGTAAATAAAATTTAACCAAAACATTGATATTTTATTATAAAACATACAAAACAATTTATTTACAAATCACAGGATACAATTGTTTAACTAAAAAATATTTACTAGACGTACTTTTTGGGTGAGAGGTGTTTGGTAGATGTGTACACCTTAGCTCCGTTCGTTGAGTAAGTAACTTTAGAGGTAGCTGCGCCTTTACCGTATCCTCCTTGTGTGGAAGAGGAACCGCCGTTTCCTCCGGTAGAGCTGCCGTATCCGCTGGAAGAACCACTACGTTCTCCTTCTCTTAAAACATAAGTCGGCTGAAGGCGATGCCCTCCGAACCCATGGGAATGAGCTCCACCAAATGCACTGCGTGAAGAGCCACCTTCTTGACCGTAGTTCGACGAAAGTAGCTGATATCCACCTCCGAGAGATACAGAAGAACCGCCTTCATTACCGAGGTGTTGAAATCCACCTAGACCGCTTCCGCTAGAGCCTACAGTAGAACCATGAACGTGTTGGAGTTGATTATCACCGGACGAACTTCCGTAGTTGCTTGACAATCCACCATGTCCAGCTTCACTTACGAGGTTTGATGGTTGAAAGTGGTGTCCGCCATATCCATGCGCATAGACATTACCGAAGGTCCCTCCAGAGGAACCGCCTTCGTTGCCATTGTGAGATAAAAGATTATACCCACCTAAAGATCCACTTCCAAGAGTACCTCCTGATCCACCTTCACCGTGATATGACAAGTGTTCGTAGCCTCCTAACGATCCGCTTCCGAGGGATCCCTCTGATGCAACGCCATGGGAAGATAGTAATTGATAGCCTCCAGAAGCGCCTTGTCCACTAGCGACACCACCATGTCCACCAAAGTAAGATGGCTGAAGAAGGTGTCCTCCAAATCCATAAGAATGAACTCCTTCCAAAGATCCACCAGAAGAACTGCCTTCGTTACCATTGTGAGACGAAAGAAGATTATATCCACCTACTGTTCCTGATCCGCCTTCACTGCCTAGATGGGTAAGCCCGCTAGAGTAGCCTGCTTGTCCTCCTTCTCCGACCAGGTAAGTAGGCTCAAGTAATCCACCATGACCATATGATTGGAATACTCCAAGATTACCACCAGAAGAAGCACCATCATTGCCATTCTGGTAAGACTGGTAGTATTCACCTAATAATCCGCCTACGAGAGATCCCTTAGAACCACCCTCATTGCTTTGTTGAGAATTTTGTAGTTTTCCAGCGGAAGAGCCCGACGATCCCTCTTCCTGCTCTTCTTTAACTAAGTACGACGGTTTAAAGTGGTGTCCTCCATATCCGTGACCATAAATACCTCCGAAAGAACCTTGTGATGAACCAACCTCATTTCCTTGATGAGAATATTGTAACCGACTTGCTCCAGATGAGCTGCTAGATCCACCATGCCTGCCTACGCCGAGAGAGTAAGATGGTTGAAATTGATGTCCTCCGAATGAACTCCCAGAAGAACCGCTGTTGGACCGGTGTTGATATCCACCTGAACCACTACCGCGGGATTCTGATGAACTGCCATGCCTGCTTGATGATCCAACCTGTCCACCTTGTCCGTAAGAATGATAACCTCCAAAGCCACCGGATGAACCGGCTTCGTTACCATGAGACAATTGATGGAACCCACCGAATGAGCCTGAATTACCTCCATGGGATCCTCCGAAAGAACCACCGGATGAGCCGGCTTCATTATCATGAGACAATTGATGGAACCCACCAAATGAGCCTGAATCACCACCATGGGATCCTCCGTAAGAACCACCTGATGAACCGTAGACTACTTCTTGAACTTCTTTTTGGTAAGAGTTAGAGTTGGCGTAACCAACGCCAACATGGCCCTTTTTGTCTACAAGTTTGACAGGTCCTCTGTGCACTTTGGTGACGTAGCCTCCTTTCTTGCCTTCGACTGTATACTCGACGACCCTCTTCGAACCGCCGGGTTCCAAAAGGCTGTAGACTCCTTCTGTGTGATCTCCCTTCCGTTGTTCCTTGTGGCTTTTGACATCTCCGGTGTGAGGATCCTTCACGTCGTATTCGAAATAATAGTGAGGTTCTGTGTAGTAATCGACTTCGTGATGCCCTCCATGGCCATATTCGACGGGGACTGCCCGGATTGCGATGAATAAAGTTGTTAAAACTAATATCTGAAATATAAAAATAAATATGATATACACTTTCACATAATATCATTATTATATATCCATTTATACCATAAGAAAACATAATAAATAAGTTTAAAACTATCATTCACTAACTATATTACACTTTATTTATGAAAATATTTTTTTTTAAATAGGAATTATATGACTCTCTGCGATTTGACCTGAGCTTTTGACTCAATAAATCACGACTTGTTCTTAGAGAAGCTTCAGGATTATGGTGTTAGGGATACAACGAAATGAAAAGTAACCAATAACACTTCCAGTCAGAGAACTGTGATACGTGGCGTACCTCAGGGTTCAATCTCAGGACCACTTTTTGAACATATGTTTAATGATTTTAACTGCTTTCAACCAATCTTGACAATAACTTATGTTGGCATAGTTATATTGATAAAATAAGTATAAAATTGTCAAAAATATGCTTTATAATTTACAAATTGAGGAATCAAGTAGTCACCTTGAGAATGCTGTACATGGGTCTTTCCTGGGTAACTAGCTATACAATTCTGGGATGGAGAAAGCCATGATGTGAATATTTTAAAGTCACAAAAAAAGGCGCTTAATGTCAATGTAATGGGTTAGGTTTAAGGAGAGTGTGATTGAGGTTATGTTGGAGCAATCGGCTGCAATTCAAGTTAAACTAGAGGTATTTTGCTATCTACTTTTTGGTAATCTTTTCAAAGGGGTTGTTGACCAAATATTCGTATAAGGATTCAGTAGAAAAAGATACTGAAAGAAGCAAATTTTGGATACTTTTTGAATTCACAATTTTTCGCATGACCATTTTCGCGCATTCAAGTTACGGGAGGGTTGAAGTTGACCCATGGTTGGTTTAGGTAAGGATTTGGGAGTAATAGAATTAGGGTTATGAGCGGGTTAGGTTAGCTGATGTAGTTATTCTATCTTATTTAGAGGGATTTGCTGCTAAACATGTTAAACTGAGGTAAAATGAAAAATTGAAAATTGTTAACCATACCTACTGTCCATGTCTCGACCGTAACTAGAGACAGAAAGGTTCTAACAAAATTTTACCTAGTCTTCAGAAGATGAGAGCACAGAAGAAAAGAGAAGATTCAGAATAAAGGAGCACTTTTAGAATATGCTTGTTGGGCTGGATACACCATTTTTGTTGTGATTTAATCGTCATTGGTTTTCTGTTTTAGGGAGGTGAAGATGGGTTGGGTTGGTTAGGTAGCACCAAAGGTTAGGGTTAGGACGGGTTAGGTTAGGTTAGGTAGCACTTAAGGCTAAGGTTAGGACGGGTTAGGTTAGGTTAGGTAGTACCTAAGGTTAAGGTTAGGACGGGTTAGGTTAGGTTCGATTCTTCTCCCTTCATTGCTTTTAATCGGACTCCGGTACCCACATCAAAGTTACGAGGTTGCGTATTCCCAGGAGTTGGAGATATATTAGGCATTCCCAGAGCATATTGACTACTCCACCACCCTTAGTTCCTTGGCTCCATACAAAGAGCGCCAAGGAATGCCATCCGACGGCAGCGAGTATTTGAGTCCCCTGTAACGATTCTTGGAAGAAACGGGGTTTTATTGAATATAGTAATAATAGTTGTGTGTACTTAGTTTGTGTTAAGAGTGAAGGTATTTATACTTCTCCTGTTCTTGACTGAACTTGTGTTCAAGCGTTGTAAAAATCGTGTTTAAATGTTAACATGCAAAGGAATATCTGTAGTGTATATTGAAAATAGAAATAGGCCCAATATGGGGGGTTTTACTCTGAGGAACACCCGCTCTAATGCGTACATAAGGTGAAAATTCAGTTCCCTGAAGGACTCGGCAAAATATGTCCAACAGATATGATCTCATTATAAGATAGCTCGCTTAGAGGATGTTCTTCAGTTTCAGGCTCGATCGATGATCTGTTCTAAAACAAGAAAAACACCCAAGAAATGGAGTTTTTTTCTAAGAGGAGAAACGATGTTGTCGGCAAAACGATTCGGCTGTTAAGTGATGGAGAGAAAGGAGCGGATCATCAATTTAAAAATAATTTTTTACTTTTTTTCAAGTTAGGCAAGGTCAAAAATGATGGTGCATTTGAGCTAGAAGTATAATTTCTCTTTTTAATTCTTTTGATCTAATCCTGACCTCGCTCCTTCTTTCTACGGCTTCTTTCTGACTTGTATGTTAAATGAGCAAAGTATCAGGTCTAAAGAAGTAAAAGCTGTTGAATTCATTTACCTCTAAAGCCTAGGCCCGCGTATGTGTCCGGCATGTAGAGAAAGGTTGCTCGATGTGTCCCACCTAATTGACGGCTGCAAATCCTTGGGTCTTTATAGAGAGCGCGCAGGAATGCCACCCGATTTGAGAATTGTGCTTGACCAATGCAGCGAGTATTTGGGCCCTCTGTTACGATTCCCAGAGGAAGGTTGTTCTATTGTATATAGTAATAATAGTTGCGTATACCTACCTGAATTGACCTGATTGTTGACAATACGTCCCCCCTCCCAAAAAAATTGAATAATGGTCAATTATGACCGCTAAACATGTATGGATTAATATAATTTTTAATACGTTCCCACTCACACTATGAAAACTGTTCACACATAAATTTATAAGTGTCATAAAGGAAAAAATTATTTAAAAAATCCTTTTTATAATGTGAAAGAATATCTAATCTTTGCATGTTGGTAAATTTAATATTGTAACCTTAACAAAGCATTTACTATGTATATATGTTTGTCTCATTGTAAATAAAATTTAAATCTAAATCTAACCTAATTTTATTTTATAATTGATTATAATTTTTAAAAAAGCAGTCTTCTTGTTGAAAACGGTCATCATTTGGAATAGAAAAAAAAACGGTTTCCGTTATGTAGCTGTATTACTTATTTACTTAAACAAAATAATGGGTGAAAAAAATCAAATTTTACCATTTTAAATTGACCATACGTCAATGCTATAAGCATATTTAATATTTATGTGAGTTATTTTAGTAAATAGAAAAGAAATTTTGCAATAAATACACAATTAGAAAACTAAATTCTTAAAATAGTATTTTGTGGGGAAAAAATGTTAAACCGGTTTAGAATTATGGAGAAGTGAACGCGTATTTTATAATTCTGCAACCTCTCACCTTAAGCATAACGAATCCAGTCTGAAAATGATCTGGTTTAAAACCTTTGCATTGCTATATATATACTTACGGTATCCACCTCTTCAATCTGACATCCTTTCCCCCTCTACGAATTTCCCATGAGAATTTATATAATGCCGTAAAATGCAATATGATCAATTTGTAAAACTGCAACATGTGCATAATATCGCTCCGATGTACGTTGAATCGTTTGTTTATCCCTGGAGTTTGATTTGTTTTAGATTAGACCGATTCCATAAACTTTCACTTTTATTTCGACTATTTAATCAATCTGTCGTGTGTTTCATATCATTTTTTTTCCATAAAATAGTAACCAATTGTAAAGTGATGAAAAACTGCTAAAACTCCAATAACTCTCTCTCTACCAAATACTCTAAAAATTTAAAGCCTTTAAGGTCAAGTTAAACATTGCTTTCAAGCACACTAATAATTTCAACTCGTCAAACAACTATTGACAAAACTTTCATTAAATTTTTGTCCACTAAACCTAGCTATATTCCATTTCCGCCGATTTTTTTCCTATGAACTATTGACTATAATCTTGATACAATTTGTTGACATGTGATATACATATTTGGACAGTTTAAGATTTAGAAGCTTTGGCATTGACGGTAACATACAATTGGCCATACATTGTTATAATATTATAGTGCGACGTCTGAGTTATAAGTAGGGAGAGACAAAACGATGACTTTGTCATGTGGTGGAGGAGGTGGGATTGAAACCGTATTAAAAAAAATTAATCATCTACCAAAATGTTGTGTACATTTTGTACAAAAATGTTTTTTCGGATTTTACCGAGCGATCTTCCAAGACAACTGAATAATGAAGTATGAAGAGCGGAAAACTGTATTGAAAAAAATAAAGGAAAATTTTGGAAAGAAGATTTTATTTAAATTAAAACGATGACTCATGGCAATTTCGAAAATTGTATCTGGAATACAAGGAACATTTTAAATGTCTGCTTGTTCAAATTTGGATATTTTGGTTTTCAAGCTCTAAAATGCTCAAATCGTTAAGTATTCAAGCGATGCCCCTAAATGGTTCAACCACCTCTTTCATGCGTAATCTACCGCCTTCTTATTCTTTTTATAGGGTTTTTGCCTACTGTGACTCAGAAAACCACAAATCCTGATTTTTTCTTAAGACATTTAACATGCAAATTATACGTTTCAATAATTTACCTAATGAAATGCATAGAAGATTTAATAATAGAGTTAAAAACATCTCGTTTCAACGTAATTGAGACAAGCTAAATAGTAAAATTAATATTTGAGACATGGTTCAATAAAAATTTCATCCTAGACTTTTGTAAAAAGTTACTAACACATAAGAATGTGAGACCGATAGATAGATAGATAGAGATACTGAGTGGCAATAGAAAAGAGCGAGATTGGTATTAGAAGAGATAGATTGATAGATAAGTAAATAAAGAAATAGAGAGAGAGAAAGAGAGAGAGAGAGAGAGAGAAAAAGAGAGAAAGAGAGAAAGAGAGAAAGAGAGAAAGAGAGAAAGAGAGAAAGAGAGAGAGAGAGAGAGAGAGAGAGTGAGAGAGTGAGAGAGTTAAAGCGCCAATCAGACAAAAAGACAGTCAAACATAAATAGATATATGTATAGAGACATAAAGTAATGGTGAGAGAAATACAACGAGACAGAAAAGGGGCGAGAAATGGAAAGGAAAGAGAGGAAGAGAGAAGGAAATATGGAGTTAAAAATATAATTGATTAATTATTGTATTTATTTACAACCTCACATAGTAATTACAGGAGAGCAATAGAAACATAGGAGAGAGGAAGAGAAAGGGAGAGAGAGTGAGAGGAGAGGAGAGGAGAGGAGAGGAGAGGAGAGGAGAGGAGAGAAGAGAGAGAGAGAGAGAGAGAGAGAAAGAAAAGAAACGCGTGTGTGTGTGTGTGTGTGTGTGTATGCAATATATATCATCAAATGCACATATATATGTAAAGAAGGAGGAAAGTAGGTGAACTTTTTTATTTTTGAGTCTATTCAAGATAGCTATTATACATTACATATAAGGAAATATATATAAATATGCTGACATCATGTTATGGCGATACAGAGCAATAGAAAAGTAATGGGAAAGAGTAAGAGGGGGGAAGGGGAGGGGAAAACGAGAGAAATAAAGAGAAAAGGAAAGAGTGAAAAGAGAGAGATTTGATTTGATTTGATAAACGATTTTTTACAAATCTCGCAGAGTTAGTCCAATTTGACCTTCCTTACACTCAACGAGAAACGACCATTTTACAATTTGAATTTATATACATGCATTTCTAGATGATCCTATGTATATAATAATAAAAAATAAATTTAAAAAAATAAAAAATTAAGCTGAATCTGGAACAATAATAATAACTTCACTATTTTCGTGGTCCGCTTGACCAATTAATACTTTACAATTAATTAAGGTTTTTAGTTGAGATGAAAAATGGCACAAGGAGGGAAAACTCATAAGGTGGGGTTGAGATGGGGAGTTGATGTCCGAGCGAATCGAGGTCACGATAGCTCAGGTGGTAGAGCAGCGGCGTATCTAGCCGAAGGTCGTGGGTTCGAATCCCTCTCGTGCCATTAAATTTTTTTCATCTCAACTAAAAACCTTAATTAATTGTAAATAATAATAACTAAAAAAAATTGCATTCATTTAAATGTAATGAATCAATAAAGAAAGAAACTACATTATTATAAAATTTACAAACAATGTTATAATTTACATACATATAAAATTAAATTTTCAGCACTTCATTAAAAACTATAATAAATCTATTAAGAAAATAAGAAAACAACCTTGAAAAGTACTTACAAAATTTGTTCGAAATGACATACAATACACTATAATAGTTTGAAAACTTGACAGATATAATAATTCAATTATTAATCATTATTTATTAGTAGTTTTACATAAAGTTTTTTCATTTCTTCTATATTGGAGGCTTTCTTTCATCTGGTAAATCATTATATAGATACATAGTTGTAACTATTTTTTATATTTTTTAAATAATTTTTATAGATTTAAATCTCACAAGATTTGATATCAAGGACCATTCTTACATCTAATGTGAAAAGCAATGGTACTAATTTTACTCTACTTCTAATTTATTAAACAATAATTACTTCAAATAACCTTATTTTTTGGTCAATATGTTACATCTATTTGTTTAACATTGAACTACGAATGTATTTAATTCAAATTGTCTTTTGAAATAAATATTCTAATTTACAGAATAATTGAGCAATCAAGAAGTAAATTACTAATAAAGTAAATGAACAAAAATACTTTTTCAATCCAATCAACACAAATTGAAAAAAAATTGAAGTTAAATTTAAGACAGTGAATTTTTAGCATCAATCATGACTTGATAAGAGATGATTTTTAAGACTATTCTGGTAATCTTTGATATTTTTACATAGCTTTGTGTTCTTGAAAAGGTAATTGCACCTTTTACTGAGTATGACCTATTAAAAGTTTTGGTTTTGTGCTTAACTCCCAGAGGGTAGTTTGCAAACCTAGTGTCTCTAACATGAATCTGAGACATGTACTCAAATTTCACTCATAGATATTTTGGTTTTTCAACTTTTAAAATTTTAAAAACTTTAACTGATAAATTGTAATCGATTAAATCTTTAACGTTGAGAGATTTAAGTTGCGAAAATTTGTTATATATGTTACTATCATATTTCAGGTACAAGATAAATCCGTTATGTTTAATCCGACTTGCAATTTTTTGTTTGTGTACGATTTAAGTCACACATTGCTCCTAGACCCATAAGTTATGCGTGGAAAGATTACAGTTCAAACAAATGTGTGGTGGTTAGTGGCCGTTAGTAGAAGATTATTCGAAAATCGTGAGATGCGGTCTGGTGTGATGTAGGTATCAGAAAAACATTTTCTTTGTCGTGCCAACGTTTCGATCTTTATTGGGATCATCTTCAGAACCTGGGATTTACAAACTTTGTTTAATTTTAACAAATACATGTAGGATGTGGACTAGTGAATTTATACAATGCAAAAATATTTTTTTATATTCAATCAAAGTATTTCTACTCACTCAAAGTGTTTGAAGATGATCTCAATAAAGATCGAAAAGTTGGCACGATAAAGAAAATGTTTTTCTTAAAACCTACAACACACCAAACCGGATCTCACGATTTTCGAATGTTCATACAAATGGTTTTTTGATTTACATTTGCAAAACGTAACAATTTATTAAATTATGTAAGGTCGAGTAGATTTGATTTTTGATTTTTAACACGTTTATATCCCATCGTTGATTCTTCGTAAGCGTTAAACCCATTTTACATTTTCTTCATATTTAAAAAAATGTTAGCAATTTTAATTTTATTTACATTATCAAGGTTCAAATTTTCTAATAATTTATTATGGTCAAAAATTATTGCTTTGCGTTTAGTTGGGTTTAACGCTAATATATGGTTATTTCTCCAGTCTGCCAGTCTTACAAGTCTTACAAGGAGAGAGAGAGAGAGAGAGAGAGAGAGAGAGAGAGAGAGAGAGAGTGAGAGAGAGCGAGAGAGAGAGAGAGCGAGAGAGAGAGAGAAGAGAGAGAGAGAGAATAAATTTCAAAACTATTTAACAGTAAGTAAAAGTGTACACAACAAATATTAAATGGTCATTAAGAGATCAAAGAACAATACGCGTTAACCATGAACGAAAACGATTCAGTCATTGTTTCCAGTGGCTCGCCAGCGTAAAAGTAGATTGCGTCAGGATTTGCCAGAGTCAGTGAACCCGGACCACAAACCAAACTGAGCTGTGGCAATAATTGTTTACATTCATTCAGGATCAAAGTCACGGCCATGGTTAATGCTAAACCATTGAAGCTATAAAAAGCAATTCATAACAAATTCCATATTGATTGTTTTTGTCTCACGATTTACTGTCCTTCGCGCCATTGTTTCGTTTCGTAAAGAAAGTGTACCTTTTATTTATGCAAAAAGTAATAATATTTGTAAGTCGACGTGCCTCTATCCTTAATTTCAAATCACGTTCGGTAAATTAATTAATTATTATTTAATTTAAAAATAATAAATATTTTTGTTGTTGAATCACCGAATCGTTTTTTTTTCTGTTTTTACAGTAGATATTATTTTGAACATCAGAACGATAATAATTATTAATTGTTTACGTGTTTTTTGTTCAAAAAGTTTTTAACATAAGCTACTTATTGCCTTCACGTCGCTATATACTTTTTAAATACTTATTCTTCTAAATCATTTTGTTTCAGTGTACATTTTGTAAGAATTTTTTCCAAATCTCATTAAGATTTATGAAAACGATGGCATTGGGCTGAAAACGTTAGTGTGTTATTAACGAGAAGAAAACTAGGAAAACGTTTTTCATAAATTAGATCATCACAGTAACATATCATCCGTGTGCGATCTCACTGCATATTTGTATTGACCGTCGTAATCAGGGAGAAACTGCCGTCTCAAATTTGCATGCGTTACCGCTCGGGCGAAATTTTAATAAGCCCCAATTTAAAAAGTTTCAAAACAATATTTGTCCTTATTCGACTAAGTCAGACCGATTATGTGAAGTTTAAAACACGGACGAACTTGGACGTTTCCAGTCTTACATAAAACGTGGAGGGGTCGTCCTACCGGGATAGCATAAGCAGGAGGTGGATATATATAAGCAGAAAGGCTTTGAAAAGTATCCAGTATTCACATCGCTTCGCAATGTTGAAGGTACCTTCTCATTCTAGCATCTTATTTATTAACTTTTTTGTTAATTTTAAATTTTTTGCTTTTTCGTTTTCAGATATTTGTTCTATTAGCGGCGTTGATCGCGGTCGAAGCTGTGGCACCTCACGGTCACGGGCACGAAGAAAAAGACTACTATGTAGAACCTCATTACAGTTATGAGTATGAAGTTAAAGATCCCCATACTGGAGATTTCAAGACGCACAAGGAGGTACGCAAAGGCAAGCACACCGAAGGAGTTTATAGTCTTCACGAGCCTGATGGATCGCAGAGGACTGTCGAGTACCTCGTTGAAGGGAAATCTGGTTTTGTAACCAAACAGCATAGAGAAACTAAACATAGCTACGGAGGAAATCACGGAGGATACGGAAGTGGCGGCAACGGTGGTCACGGAGGGTACGGTGGAGGAGAAGCTTCTTCTCATGCTAGTTTTGAATTAAGCCACGGTGGAAAAGGATTTGGTTCCGGAAGTTCCGGCAACGGATTCGAACACGGACTCAAATATGGTGGCCAACAGTCTGGTCAATCTGATAGCGGTGGATATGGACACGAATTCGGAGGCTCTAACGGAGGTTCGCCTCATTCTTATTTCCAGTTTGGAAATGACGGTGAAGGTTTTAAATCAGAGGGTGGATCACTCTTCGGTGGTTACAAACAAAACGCAGGAGGATCTCTTGGATATGGTAGTGGCGGCAACGGTGGAAAAGCAAGCTTCGGGTTTCACAGCAGTGGAGGTGCTGAGTCTGGATTCGGAGGAGGAAGTAAATTTGGCGGTTATGCTCAATTCGGTGAAGGGTCTGGATATAAGTCAAGCGGTTCCCAATCGGGAGGCTTTAATGTAGGTCAAGGAAAACTATCTGGTAAATACGCTGGATTGTACCACCGTCAGGCTGCTAACAAAGGAGTTCAGAACAATGGCGGTGATTCCCAAGTCTCCTACCATTCATCTCCGCTTCATTATGGCAAATATTCTTTGGGCTTCAATCTTCAAGAACAGTCTGGTCATGGAGGACAACAATCGGGATATGGTCTTGGACAATCCGGATTCCACGGTCTTCAACAATCTGGTCATGGGCTTGAGCAGTCCGGATATCACGGACTCGAACAGTCTGGACAAGCTCTTGGACACTCAGGATTCCACGGACTTCAACAGTCCGGACACGTCCTAGGATATGGTCATCAACTCTCCGGATTTAACGGTCAGCAACAGTCTGGACATGGTCTTGGCGAGTCAGGGTTCTACGGTCTCCAACAGGGCGGTCATGGGCTTGGACTCTCCGGATACCACGGACTCGAACAGTCTGGTCACAGTCTCGGCGAGTCAGGGTTCCACGGACTCCAACAATCCGGACACGTCCTAGGATATGGTCATCAACTCTCCGGATTTAACGGACAGCAACAATCTGGATATGGTCATCAACTCTCCGGATTTGGCGGACAACAACAATCTGGATACGGTCATGAACTCTCCGGATTTAACGGACACCAACAATCTGGCTATGGAGGCAATCAGGCAGGCAAAGGGCAATCTGGTGTCGGACAATCCGGATACCACGGACACGGGCAGTCTGGATATGGACAACAGGGTTCAGGAGGCCATGGCAGTGCCAGATCATACGCCTACTTCAAACAATTGCCTAATTCCGGCAAGGGACCATCCCCAGCTTATGCGAAAAAAGTCCATAAACATGAATACTAAGTCACTGACAAGTCTGATGTAATTTTTAATTTCTGTACAGTTTTATAAATACAGTTTTTTTATACTTTTTTAAATAAGATTTATTTTATTATTCAATTACCACCAAACTCCTTATACGTTTTACTCATAACTATGAAGTAATCGAACAAAAATCATAAACGCCCACAAAGTTATTGGGGTTTAAAATTGTTTAATCTACGAATTTCAAATCCCAGAATTGTTTTGCAATGCAAATGAAATACCTAACCTGCTTCATTGAAACCATCATGATACCATATTGTGGTTGGCCGATTGATCTAACTTTTTCAAAATTTTCGTTCTCGTGCCTTTTTTTTTAAATTATATAAACGTTTACAAAATTTTGCTATGCTTGATGGTGTATATCGGGAAATGGGGTTACTCTTGCAGATTTACACAACGACAAAATTATTCGAAACTAAAAAGAATACAGCGCTTTGTGATAATTAACGATTTTAAGAGCGTAGTTTTGGAAGCTTCATGTGACTGTCATATCTGGCGACCCTCATCAAATTGAGAGGGAGATCGCTTAAAAATTATTTTCTACATTTCGAATCAAACACCCTGCCGTTCCACAAAAACTGCTATTCAGCTGAAATTATAAAAATAGAAGGTACACCCAAAGACGCGATGAAGAGAATCTTCATCGATGGAAGCAAAATTGATGGGCAACGGGAGTATAATGCCGTTGTATATAAAAAAAGACACTACTTCGAACTTTAACCTTCAATCTAACTGTCTGGTGCTCTTACAACCAAGCAGAGCTTCTAGCCAAATTCAAGATCCAGAACGATGCTTTCGAGGATCGATAGATTTTTGTAAATTACATTTCCGGAAGACTGAGAAAACTAATAGGCTCAACAACTGCTGGATATGTATGTACATCCAGAAGAATTGAGATGGAATAAATCATTAATCAGCATAATGACCGAAATACGATTACTGATTAAAGTTATATCACCGATCATCCTGATTCACCCGATTAAAAACAAAACAGGAAAAAGTCCAATCATCAAGACACAGTTTTATCACAAGTATGATTTGTTGATAGATACATCATCACCAATCATCCTTATTCACTCATAATCCTTTTACCTTATACTTTCATTTAAAGAGTTTAGTCCTCTGTACAATTGGGTATGTATGTACATCCAGAAGAATTGAGCTGTTATAAATCAGTAATCAGTACAATGACCGAAGTACAATTACTACTTAAAGTTAGATCACCGATCATCCTGATTCACCCATTTAAAAACAACACAGGAATAAGTTCAACCATTAAGATATAGTTCGATCATCATCAACCAACGTAATAATCGTCACCCAGTCATCCTGATTCACCCAAAAAACCAAAAGTTTCTGGCATAACATACAGACAGGTATGATCTGTTGTCAGTTACATCATAACCAAATCATCCTTATACCTTATAATTTTTACCAAAAGATTACAATTAATTAAGGTTTTTAGTTGAGATGAAAAAAAGTTAATGGCACGAGAGGGATTCGAACCCACGACCTTCGGCTAGATACGCCGCTGCTCTACCACCTGAGCTATCGTGACCTCGATCCGCTCGGACATCAACTCCCCATCCCAACCCCACCTTATGAGTTTTCCCTCCTTTTGCCATTTTTCGTGGAGCCGAAGGTCGTGGGTTCGAATCCCTCTCGTGCCATTAACTTTTTTTCATCTCAACTAAAAACCTTAATTAATTGTAATGATTTAATTGGTCAAGCGGGCCACGAAATTAGTGAATTTACCAAAAGAGTTTAGCCCTCTGTACAGCTATACAGAGTATGTACATCTGTGTGAACATTGAGCTAAAATAAATCAGTAATCAGTAACGCAATTTATATTTCTATATTATGATATAAAGTAACCCTTTATGACGATTGATTGACAGAAAATTGAAATGGGGTTGATAAAAAAAAAGAAGGGGAGATAAATTTCGTCCACTCTAGTAAGAAAAGTCTTAAATTTATTTTGGATAAAGCCATATTTTCGAATATTCTACAGGTATTTATATTTGGTAACTGTTTAAATCGTTAGAAATAGTTTCAAAGTCAAATCTTCAATGTGTGAAATATGTCAGGAGCATCGCAAATTGTTCAAGGTAAACGATGAAACCATTCGCTCTAGCTTACATCGGGGGAAAAGCTGGCCAAATGGATATCATAAATTGACCGACGGTGATATGCTCGCGATCTAAACGTTTGTCTTTCGTTGCTTTAAGTGCAAAAAGTAGAGGCGTTTATTGACCGGATGCGACAGAGATCTCGTACAATAACACCAGGTCGTACGAGAGCTATAGGCAGCTAAAATTCACATATAAGCACGAATGGGTTTTGAAGCCATATGAAAGAAAATGTTTTATAGTTTACTGAGAACTGTTCAAGACAAATTGACGTGATGAATACACCTAATCCGCCTTTGTAAACGAAAATGTTTGTTAAAGGTATTAAAACAATAACAAATAAAAAACCGCACCAACTTTTACGACTTTGGACGATATAAACCATTGAGTCTTTAACAACCCAACAAATATTATCAAAAAATAAAAAGTAAATGTGATGACAATATAAAATCTATGATTTAGTTATTGCGAAACGTTAAGGGAGCAAATTTCTAAACGATCTATATGTACTTACCTGTCGAGTCATATAACTAGGTGAATACTTACAGTTTACTTTCACCGGCGGGTCTACCTTTTTACATAATGTCTCAAAATTTACGCCGCCCAAACAAATTAGACCAGTTTCTGTATCATTTTTGTGTCTGCTCCGGATCACTCATTCCGTTATGTCATCGACATTGGGACAATATGAACGAAAACTGGATTTCGAGGCAATTATGCGCCCGTTTCTCAGGAACCTGTTGTCGGCGGTGAACCTGTAAATATTCGATCGCGGAAATCGAGAGCTGTCTTTATAAATTAAACTTATTAAAAAGTCTTAAGCATGTTTTTGTTATCTTAATTTTCCATGTTATAACTCGATTAATTATGAGGGTAGTTAATAAAACCGAACAAGATTCATAAAAAAGTATTAAACTCTCCTGGGAGTTCTTAAAATTCCTGTTGATTATACATTATAAAATCAAGTCTATATGTATTACAGTCTATTTCTGAAAGTTTGAATCAGTTGTTCAAAGTTTTTATTATAAATTATTTCATTTTACTGTGTTAGGACTATAACAATAAATAACAATAATAATAATAATTTATTTTAATCCATATACAGTATTTAAAATTTACATATTTGCTTGGAGAACCAGTTTAAAACTTCACCTCTCACTTTCATATACATATTAAACTTAAATTTCAAAATGAATTTCTTTTCTGTTGGGAAAAATAAACTTACAATCCCAACACTAAGGAACACTTATTATGACAGTTTGCTTCCATGATTTTTTTTATTTTTTATGTTTATAATACATATTACATTATACTATTCTATTGTTCTTATTTCAGTATTTTCGTTCATAAAGAAGTCGTCAACAGGATTTATTGTAAAATCCTTAATGTTTGTGATCTTACGATGTTTGCATATCGGCACACATTCGAACCCGACATACTTACAAATAGGCTTTCTTCAAAAATATCGACACTGCGAGGATTCATCTCTGGGACGGATCTGGGCAGGATCTCTACTGTTGCGAACCCACGTAAAAAGATGGTTGTTAACATTAAGTGCTGAGGGGTGATTTGTTATGTGCTCTGAAAAGGTTCTCTACCGTATGAGAAAATTCTATCTTAGGATTTTCTACCACTACTTTGTGATGTTGTGTGGGTCGCCTTTGGGTGAATAATTGCCTGATTGGTCAAAGTTCAACGAAAACTTTTGTAGCAACTTTAGGGGGATTTTACAAAGATTGACTGTAGGGCCAGTCAATCGATTTGTATCGTGTCAGTTCTCCCTGATTTCGTTATTAAGCGATATTTTTTGTTTCTGCTGTTTTTCTGAGTGAAATCGAATCATTAGACCAAGTTTTGACGTTTAAGGTACCGTTGGTTTTGATGTATACATCGATCGAAACTCACAACCCTTCTCAGTCACTCCTACAACACGAAACTGTCCAAAACAACGTTTTCGATATTATTCTATATTTTTTGGTTTTTATTACTTTTATAAAAATAGGACTAGAAGAGGGGGAGTTAATAATCAACCCGTTCAAGTTCAATCTATTCATGTTAAGATAATATATCAAAAAATTTTACACTTATCACTCTTCCCTCAGATCACTGTCTGAAGTAGCTTCTTATTCATTCACAAATCTGATTGAGATCGACTAGAAGGGCAAAAGGATTGAATTTTTTTAAATTAAACCGGAATATTTAATCGTTATAATAGTGTTTTCATATAAAACCTTCTTTTTGGACAATACAAAGACTAGAAGACATAGAAACTTTTTATTTTTATTTTCTTCTTTATTGTTGCCATTTTTTTTTATCTTTTTGTAGTTGAAAAGATCTTTTTGGCAGGCGTTATTATTTGAGGGTGTTTTTTAATATAAAATCGCAATTTTGAGATGTTTCGGCTATCATGGGTCATTTTCAAGTAGTACATTTTATTTCTTGAGANAAGTAGTATATTTTATTTCTTGAAAAAGTTTTAAGTTTATATTATTTTTAAAATATTAGAAACAATTAATTTTTTCATAATATTTATCTTAAACCTTGAAAAAATGTTGCCAATTGACTGTGTTTCGTTTAAGTTTTTTCCACTTTTTAATGTTTCTGCAAAATTAAGGTAAATATTATAATTAAATTAAAACGGTTGAAATAATTTAGATACAATAATGTAAAATTACTCAATGGAACAGGATCGCCACCACCTTGCAAACTTGCGATTTTGTATTTGAAAAATCACCTTTTTTTATAAAGATATAATAAGCCCGATTTGAAGGATTTGCCTTGAGTTGTAGAAAAATCGAAATTTATTGGACAATTTCTGTACCTACTGTTTAGGCTTTCAGTTTCTTAAAAAATTGAAGTGATTGTTTTGAATTTCATTTTTTCTCTTGTTTCAAATCTTTTCTT